CNCCAAACATTCGGTAGAATTTATAGAATATTGTAAATATATATATATATATATATATATATATATATATATATATATATCAATCAATCAATCAATCAATAGGAAACTTATATGAACTTATATAAACTTATCAATAGGAAAATTAAATGTTCTCAAAGGCGCTATCGTAATTATATAAACATTGAAGTCTACAATACTATTAAAAAAAACACAACTTAACTAAAGTTATCAAAGTTTAACAGTGAACAAATATGTTTTTAATTCTTTTTTTAAATGTTCTAAGAGACAGTCCGGACGATCGCAATGACTGTGGCAAGCTGTTCCACTCGGTCGGACCTGCAACAGAGATACTTCGTGTGAAACTGCAAGTGTGAAACCGGTATTGTCAAAAAATTCATATCAGCTGACCGTAGATGAGACGACGCAGACATTTTTTTTGAAAATTTGTTTACGAGATATTCCGGTGACATCCCATTCAGTGATTTAAACACAAGTACAGCGATTTTGAAGGTTACTCTTTTATCTATTGTCAACCAAGTGTAATTCCTCCAGAATGGGCGTCACGTGAACAAACTTCATCCTGCCAGTTACCAATTTTGCAGCCCTGTTCTGAATCGACTGAAGAAGAGCTATTGACCTTCTTGGAAGTTTATAAAACAGACTGTTGCAGTAGTCAATTCGCGATGTTATAAAAGCAAGAATCAGCGTCACCAGTGCCGATCTATCCAATGAATGTCTGATTTGATAAATGTTTCTTAAATAAATATTACTTGATTAATATATTTTTTAATGTAGTCCTTCATTGATAAATTGCTATCAAGTAAAACTCCCAAATTTGATGCAGTTGCAGATAATGATATCTTTACATCTCCCATCACAACAGAAGAGAAATTTAGTTTTGACAACTGCTGCCACGTACCTATCAATAGCAACTGCGTTTTACATTCATTGAGCTTGAGCGAGTTTGATGACATCCAATATCCAACCTCTTTCAAACACTGGACTAATATATCAAACTCATCACGAAACGAACCTGGAGGACCAGTGACTAGAACCTGAATGTCGTCGGCAAACGCATGACAAGTGAATCCATGAGAGGAAATTATTTTGATTATATCTGCTGTGTACAAAATAAAAGAATTGGTCCCAGAACTGAGCCTTGTGGCAAACCTGTTGTTACCAAGGCAATATCAGACACTGAATTGTTAAACGAAACCTGCTGTGTTCGGTTCGTCAAATACGACCTGAACCATTTATGAGCTGTGTCTGTAATACCATAATCGTTACCTAGTCTTGCCAGCAAAACATCATGGTTTACACAATCAAATGCTGCTGATATGTCTAAAAACGATAACAACGATAAGTTTTGGACGTCCATTGCCGAAAACAAACCAGACAAAACATGTAACAATGCTGTTTCAGTAGAATGGAACTGCTTATAACCGGATTGATTACAAGGCAGTAGGTTATTTTCAGATTAAAACTTCAAGAAACTTTTAGCCACTACACGTTCCATAATTTTAGAAATGAATGAAAGATTCGATATCGATCTGTAATTATTAACATCATTTTCATCACAACCTGTTTTCATCAAGACGGGGAGAACCACAGCATGCCTGAAAGAGGAGGGAAATTCATCTAATTGAAGGCAGCAATTAACAAAGCTGGTCAGAAATTTGATGAAAAACTTCAAATACTTTTTTAAGCTGTGAGTTGGAATGACATCCTGTGAACTCGTCTTACACGGGGAATTGATTATAATATCTTTCAATTCATCTTCAGTGACCATCGGGAAGGATGAAAACATAACAGCATTATGTAGCCCACCATCATCTGTTGATTGAGTAGAAACTTTGGTAGATTGAACAATTTTGCTAACTTTGTCCGTGAAAAACTGTAACAATCGATGGGCTGTAATACCAACATCACCATCGAACATTAAACTTTTCTTGTTTCTACACAACACCTTATTAATTGCCTGCCATTTATTTCTCGAGCTTTTGCTGACCTCGATTAAATTTCTCCAATAATCTGAACGTTTGTCAGAATATAATTTGTTTCTTGCTTTTATGGAAATTATCCAATTATTACGATGATCATCTGTCGACAGTTTTCTGAAGATTCTTTCCATTTTTCTACATGTTTGTTTAGCTTTTTTACAATCATGATCAAACCTTGGTGCCATACGCTCACCTCATAGATTACTCGAATAGGCACAAATCTATCAACAATACTCTTTAACTCGTTGTTAAACATTGTTAATTTCTTTTCGACGTCATCACCACAGCATGGTTTAGATACTGGTGAAGTTAAAATAGCACCAATGAATTTTTCCTCATCTTCTGTTTTCCATGACCTAACTGATTTCATCACTGTTTTAGGGGCAGGCCGAACAATCATTGTTTCTATTTTTATGAAACTGTGATCCGAAATTATTCCACTAGGATAGATTTTAGCATGGAAAGTCATACGAACTGACAACTAAATCCAATGTACCTCCTAGGATATGTGTAGGAACGTTGACATGATTTACTAATTGAAATATATCAAATATTTTTTTTAAACGAATAGATTGGGGATCAGCAGTTCTCTCAACATGCAAATTGAAGTCATCCATCAATAAAATGTTTGAGTTTAAAATTGTTAAGTATTCCAAGATTGAAACTATTTCATCATAAAACAAAACTGTTATTGGAGCTGAGTCGAGTCTGTACAGAGCTAGCAAGATGAATACGCTTTTATTTATTGACAATCTGATTGCAATAGCTTCAAACATACTAATCAATGGCAGAGTTAACTTTTTATATTTGAACTCTTTGCGAAAGTAAACTATCAAACCACCATGACCCAGATCATGCTCTCTAATATAATCAACAAACTGAAACCCAGGCGGCTTTGCCAAACCAATTGCAAAATTACCTTCCAATCCATGCCAAGTTTCTGTCAGCACCATGACATCTACACCATCACAAATCAACCCATGAACAGTGTTAACCTTCTTCATAATTGACCTGACTTTAAGTAATCCAAACATAATATTGCCATTTTAATTTCTGTTATCCATGTCATTATTATCGACTACTTTGAGTCTTTCTTTGCAAAAAACTGAACTCCCGACCTCCCCTCTGACTCGATATAAAAAATCCTCTTTGCAACTCTCCTTCTTCTTTTTGGCATCATCAAGTAATTTTTTCAAGTCGCTCCTTTGTTGAATTGTAAGGTCATGACTTAACCGAATATTTTTCAAACTATCATCTAAAGTTTTCATCCTACGTATGTTTTTGAAGATAAGTTCTTTAATTTTTGCATCATCAAATCTGAGAAAAATTGGTCGGACAATATTGTCTCTTTTCTTTCCTAATCGTATCACCTTTAAGACATTTTTAAGACCAAAAACTCTATCAGTTAAATGGCTAATTATTTTATGAACCCTGTCATCATCATCAGCACCTTCCTTCATCCGAATAGCATCATGTTGGCTTCCCTCTTCTTTGCCTCGACAACCTTGTTCAGCGTTATTTGAACACTTTTCACATCATTATTGATTGCTTGCACACTTCTGCCAACTTTAGATTTGACAACTTCCGAAAAGATCTGTTCGTTTCACGCTTTAAAACCAATATTTCATCACATAACTTTGACCCAGAAGCATCCATTCTTGAAAGTTTACCATCACCCTCATCAATAATCGTTTTGATGGCGTCAATCTGCTGTTTAATATCCATATTCAATTTTTTCATTTTTGTCATATATATATATATATATATATATATATATATATATATATATATATATATATAACATGAAAAGTAGCCAGCCAGGAAACAATCAAGATCAACTGAACATCACCAGCTGACCATCAACCAAACTTTTCCGTCATCTCCAATTAATGGTTAACACGTGGTTACATGTCTGCATAATTGCCTCGAGCGAGTTGCATACAATCCAGCGTGTGATGTTGTTAATTATGATTCCCTGAGCTGGAAATGTAGGATTGAACAGATGCCACACATGTTGCACTGGAGGCCTCTCCGTGCATCTTAACTGGAGCCGTAAATTATTTCTCCATTTTGAATCTTTGGTTCGTATTTTCATATGTCCACTTCAACTTTTTTCAACATTGTTCCATGTTTTGTTTTCAATATTCTGTCTAATCTTTTCGGGTTCATTTCTATTTGTAGGTGTTTTCCCTTTCGCATTCATCCACCTTCTTATTTATTTATTTTTTTTATTTCCAAGTTTAAAAAACTTCTAATTTTTGTTTTATTCCATGGTGTTTATTTCTTCATTTGCTAATATTGTTGTGCTGTTTAATTTTTATTTATATTGTTTTTATTGACTTTAATTTCTTTTTCCACGTCCCTCTAACCTTTTCATTTTATACCTTTTATTTAAATTTTCAATCGTAAATGAACTAAAACAAGCTTTTCCATTTATTAACTACTCTCTATCTTTTTACTCCTGCAATTGTTTAACTAATGAAATGAGCCAGAAGCATGCAGCAAGTGACCTGCTTGCACATGTGGGGTGGGTGCCAAATGAGCTACGATAGAAAAGTGGTCATTTTTTGTGTGACGTTTGCCATTAATTTTGAGTCATTCGCTAGGCTCAACTGTAACTTTTGGTTTGGTAGTTTTTTAAGTATTGTGTGATTAGTATTGCAATCATTTAACGAACAACAAAACCTCATCTCTTTTTCTTAAAATTAATTGCAATACTAAACCAGAATCGATAATGAAGAGCAGTCATCTGGTATATAACAAACACTATTACAAACTATATCACATACTCTATTACACTGATGATGGTGAAGGTTACCAAAAAAGCTTTTATGTAAATGTATATATGAAAAATGCAGTCTAATATAATTAGAATTTTTATTATTAATTTGAATAAATTGAATAATGTAGATAAAATAATTGTTCGAAAATTTGAAAAAACTTAGTTACAAACTCAACAATGCGGAAAATGCGGTGATATTTCTTAATAAATAAATAAATATATACATATATATATTTATATAATATATATATATATATAACAAACGCGTGTTGTATATATACCTATACAACAATAACATTTTATCATATATAAAAATGGGAATGACGTTTGATTGGTTGGTGTAATGAAAGCTTTTGAGAATGGTTACTGTAAACCTCCCATGTTTTATTGAACAACAAAACTAGCTGGTTCAGCACTGCCGCATGTTTCGTCTGCATTGGGACCACTCTGGGTGACACAGGCCCTTCTTCCTTGACACGATATCATAAAGGTGTTGTACACAAATCAAAACTCACATCAATATTTCATTTGTTATGCCAAACTAAAACCTAACCGGTGTATTGTTTGCTCTTTCAAAAAAATTCTTTAACCAAAATGAACAGAAGTGTACGTTTTTGTATGTGATGTGATATGTATAATGTAAGTATGCTGTGCGTGTGTGCTCATTAATTTGCATATGAAGGTCTGCCCATGCAAAGGTGCACAAACACATACGTGTATATTCATGAGCGTGTATTTAAACGTGTAAATGTGTGCGAGGTGTACAGGTGTGTACGTGTGAACCATTGTGCGTGCGGGTTCGCCTTGGTGGCTGTTGACAGGACAGGTCTTCAATGGCGACAAGAGAAACTGACGCTGAGTGCTGCAGTACGTGCGTTAATTAATTATTCAGCGTTGTGCTAAAACAATGGGACCGTGTTATGGCGGTGATGATGACGATAATGAACCAACCAGTCAAACAACTAACCAACCAATCAAACAACTACACAACAAATCAAACAACTGACTAAACAGTCAAACAACTAACCAATCAATCAAGCAACTAACTAACCAATCAATCAAGCAACTAACCAACCAATCAAACTACTACACAACAAATCAAACATCTGACTAACCAACCAATCAAGCAAGCAACTAACACCGAACAATCAAACAACTACACAACCAACAAATCATCATCAAACAAACAAACAAACAAACGAAAACATTGACAGGACGGAAAAACAGCTCTGCACCACGCCATCTTGCATGGAGTTCTGGAGAACGATTTGGAGATCGTCAAGTTGTTACTCATGTGCGGTGCTGACGTCAACATCAAAGATGACGTAAGTTGAAGATTCCATTACTACTACTACTACTACTATTAATACTAATACTACTAATACTACTATTACTACTACTACTACTATTACTACTACTACTACTATTACTACTACTACTGCTATTACTACTACCACTATTACTAATAAAAAAATATATAATTACATTATTAACGTTACTACTACTTCTACTAATAATAACAATAACGATGAAAATAATTTTAATAATATTTTAATACCATTGCTATTACTACTACAGCAACTAATTATAATGATGATAACGTGACGATTGAAATACTAACAAATAACAAAGAATGCAACGCCGGCAAATTTTTCATCATTTCACCCAATATGTCGGGAAGTTTAAAAGTGGAATGAAATAAAAAATTTGTTGGAATTAAGATGACGTAAGTGATCAGGGTGACGTAACTATTTGTCATTGGCCCTATGAGGAGCTGAGTAGGGATGTCAGATGGGTGTAGAATGTTGTAGCAAAACATTAATTAAATTATTAATTCATTATTAATTAATTAATTGTATATTTATAATTAAATAATTATTTTTAATTAGTTATAATTGATTGATTGATTATAATTAATTAATTATAATTAATATTTATTATTTAACTTTAATTATTTATAATTAATTCATTGTTTATAATTAATTATAATTAATTAAGCAAATAATTAGTCCATTTCATTATTTTGATTAAAGATGAATTCGAAGAATTGCCAAAACATATTTAAGAGTGTTTATCAGGATGTCAAAATTTTAAGACCATTCGCAAGGATGAACTTTCAGATTAATTTTATATCTCACAATAACTCAACATCGTCTCAACTCAGTGAAAGTTGTTCATTGGCAGACTTTCAACTTAAGTGTCTGGTGGTTTTATTGTTAAAGATAGCAATCAGCTGAGTCATCTGAACAAATCTGACACTGGTCTTACCTTTTACACGGCTCTGTAAAACTGAAGTATGTTATCGGCAAGTAAATTGTTCGGAGAGTTTTGAAGGTTAGAGGCAATGAAGATGCCGTTTGTATGGGAAGTATTTAGGATGACAAAATTATACAAATTAAAGTTTTTCAACCAACAAAAAAGCAATAAATTAAAATGATTGATTGCTTTATAATCTTCAAGCATAAAGTGAATAAGACGGGCTTATCGTCTGCGTGCATGCAAGTGTTGGTGATTACGTTCAAAACATTCTCATGTAATTCATGAAGTTTTGTTTGAATTATTTTATTAATGACTTAGCCAGCTGAAACTTAATCCCTAAAAATGTTTTAATCAATTTTCAACTTTATTTAATTCAACCGATAACATTGAATGCAAACATGAAAGATGTTTTTCATCAAAACATTCCTGATTGCACAATTAATTTCAACATTCAACATCCTCTCACGTGCACACACGCATGCATGTGTGTACGTACATATCTATGCATCAGGTATGTACGTTTATGTACACATTTGTGCATGCATGTGTGTACGCATATATCTATGCAGACAAGTATGTACGTACAAAGCTAGCGCAAATAACCACACCATGATGAGGTTGCAAACTGCGGTTGTCGATAACAAATCCCAGAAACTTCGCAGATTTGTTCGTGTGATTTGCCACAGAAAATGCAGTTTCAAATGTTTACTTGAACCACTCGCACAATAAAAATTATGAAATTTAAAAAAATTTTCGGAATAAATTTTTTTAATTTTTTGTTGACTCTAAAATTCATTTTCATTACACAAAATTTGAAAAATGTTGTTTTAAAAGACAATTAGCATTTTCAAACAACGACCTTCTTTGTTGTTTTCTTATTTTACGGCGCAGTTATTAAGATGAAATGTTTCGCAGTGTTGCTTTCTTCCAATTTTATATCCAAAATTAAAATCGTAAATTACATCCTTTTTGCGGATATGCGGGCGGATGCGGATTTAAAGTGCTGTGGAAACGTTGCGGTTTGGAATGATCTTACCTGGCAGGGCTCAAGTATGCACGTACATATCTATGCCTGCATGTGTGCTTGAGTGAACCTCAGCGATTGTGCCATTGCATGGGGGCATAATGTGGTTGAGCCTCTTTCACTAAGTGTTCACGTACATCATGTTCTTACGCCCCGCTCATAAATAATACGTATATACAAAATATTCACATATATATATACCATATATGCACAAAATACATACACACAAACACACACACACATTGTCGTCACTGTCATTATATTCAACTTCTTTTATAATTCTCGTATTCATCATCCTCGTCATTGTCATCATTTTCCACTGATTCATGTTCATCTACATCTACTATTGCTAATTTATGTTCATCATCGCGGTCGTCATCATACTCACCCACTACTGACCATTCATCCTCATCTTCATCCTCCTCTTCATCATCCTCGTCAGGTTCATCATCATCGTCGTCTTCGTTGTTTTATTCATCATCGTCGTCTTTATCCACTGTTGTTAATTTACGTTCATCGTCATCGTCATCATCTTCCGTAACTATTGTAAATCCATTTTCATCATCATTGTCATCGTATTCATCTACGTCATCATCATTATCTTCAGAAACCATTCAATTTGACTACTTCAGAAATATGAACTGAACTTGTAAAATATATATTTGAAAGTATCATTTTTACATATCACCGAAAAATTGAAGGAAGATTGAAGTATTTCACAAGAATTGAGAACTTTTGCCTAGTTTATTTACCTGGCTGATGATTATTTTAGTCACCTATCTAGTTCGGCACACATAGCAATACAGCATTCATTTAAAACATTGTTGCTTGGCTGCTTAACACCATCTTGTGTTGTTTTTTGGTTACTCAACATCATCTCGTGTTGTTACTTAGTCGCTCAACATCATCTCGTGCTGTTGGACTGCGTGTGGAATCTATTTGTTTGACATTTTTGTTTTAAAATGTTACACCTAAACAAAAAGCTTTTTAATTTTTGCTGATGAGTTTAAATTTGGTAATACAATAATATTACAAGGTGAACTTTTTCCCATAAGACTGTGAATTCTAAATAGCAAATTTAGTAAATAATTCAGTTTGTTGTCCATGAGTTTGTTAGCCTCCACGCTCACACGCACACGTGTGCAAGTGTTTACAAGCGAATGCTGTACTGGGTAATGCATGCAGCGAAAAATAAATCATGTAAATTATGGCGTACGGAATGAAAGTTTTATTGTCTGGAGGTGCAGTGACTCACGCGTGCAGACGCAAACTGCTTGCGATTCTCTGCGTTGCGTGTTTCATATGCACCCATTAATGTAAAAACTTATTTTATTTCATTTGCCAAACATATTATCAACCTATTTGTTAATATACAATCTTTTTTTATATGCTCCAATTGGTTTCAGTCCTTAGATCAGCGGGATATGAACCGTTTTGAAATGAAATAACACCTGATTAGCTAATATTTAATGTTGATTTTAATAACAGATCATTATTATTATTTTATTATTATTATTATGCTCAAGTCAAAAAGCTTTTCTAAGCTGAAATTATAGATGGTACCCAACCAGTTTCACCTAGACAGTACAGTAGGGTTTCATTCAAGCACTTTCCTTAGTACTTGGGAAGTGTTTGGAACCTAGCAGCGAGATTCGTTGCGCCTTTGACACGTCTTATTTTTTTGGTATCTCTTCAAGAATTTTTACTCGTTCAATGCCGGAGCTCCCATTGCGCCAACCACTACAGGTATTGTTCTAAAATTATCAACCCAAGAGCTTTTACAGATTTATAAAGTCTTGATCGTAGTGGTATTGGGATGTCACGCCGCATCAATATAGAGGCAAGGAGATGCCATTTAATCCAGGCTGCACGTATGCGTGCTCGAATGGCATCATAATAATAATCATAATAATAATAATAATAAGCATCATCATAATCATAATAATAATAAGTATCATCATCATAATCGTAATAAGCATCATCATCGTCGGAAGAAAAAAATTATTTGTTGAATATGCTATAATATTATTTTATTTATTATTATTTATTACGCAACTGACCAGAGGACCACACAGGCCACTTGCCCGGCCAGAAAAATGATATACATATATATATATATATATATATATATACATACTATATAATATATATATTATATGTATATATAATATATTATATATATATTAAATATATATATTAAATCATTAGATACAAATAACATAAACTGCTTAAGATGCTTCGTTATATAAATGATACCTGCCCTATAGAATGTAGAGTTGTGAACATGTGTGTGGGCTGTGTGTGTTGTGTGTGCATGTATATGTATGTGTGTACGTGCGAGCCTGTGTACGTGCAACTTATTTTTGCCACACATTCGTTTGTCTCGTCACGTTCATTGAATATGGCAGACGTAAATATAATTACGCACGAACGTAATCATTGCCTTCGTGCTTCAAATAAAAATAAATGGATGGAAAAAATTTTCACAATCACGCTTTGATATGAAAAAATTTGCGCGCCTCACTGGCACACGTTTCACGCAATGCACTGCAGGTAGGTCGGCGCAGATTCTCAAACAGTCGAGAAAGAACATCTCAAAATACGAGCAGTAAGCAAATAATCAGGCAAACAAATTTTATGAGATCAAACACACATGCACCCACCAATACTTAGATATAGACAACTTAAACACAAACAAACACACAGACACCCAAATACACACACCAGCTGGTCAGGTTCCACGCGAGTTGTGAGTCTCGACTATGGGCGTCAAAAGACTTTCAGATTTATTACCGCGAATATTGCCGTATTTTATTTTTGTTTTATATCTGAGCATGCATCTTGTTAAGATTGAAAATGTGTGCATGTGTTATATTATAATTAGATGTAAAACCTTACATTGAATGTTTGAATTGAAAGAAGCGAAACTATGATGTTGGTTGTGCAGACAAACGTTAAAAGTTTTGCACGACGAACCCCACCCCAAGTCGCTGTTGATGTTTGCTTTTGTTGTTGTAGAGATGCATTGCAGTACTGCGGCAAACGCTCATTCACATGTTCGAATTATTTTACTTTTTTATTTCACCATGATATAATTTAGACTTATTAGTGAAGGTTATTAAATGTTATCAAATAATATTTACAATCATCGATGTTATTAAGTGTTAATGGATGTTATTCCCCGTTTGCAGACGTCACAGAGGGAGTCCTGCTTGCACCTGGCTCTGAGGTTAGGTCATCTGGAGGTCATCAGACTGGTCCTCGAATCTGCAACACTGGACATCGTAAAGTGTGACGCCCTGCAAAAATCAAGGGTTGTTCATTTTGTTCAATTATTTTTTTATGCCGACAACTTTTTCATCAGCGCATTCAATTATTTTCACCGTCAAATCTTTCGTCGCATGAAATGCTGCGGACACGCATATTAAACGAACTCCGTATTGTGTGATACCAGTTAAGCAGGTCTTGTTAATCCATATTGTTAATGATCGTTTTAATGATTGTTTGGCACATCGTGATATTGTCTGCTCCTTCCGGAAAGTTTGAAAATCCTGTTGAAAATTTAATAAAAAATATTTCGTCTCAATTGCTACATTTGTGTATAGTGGAAAGAAAAATTTAAAATTATAAATTAATAATACCTCTTACCAACTCATCTATTGACAAATTGTAACAGGATGGTTTGAATAGCATTTCAGATATTAAATGGCAATTGGCAACAAAAACAACTATAACAATCGTTTAGTTATTTAACCATCAGCAGCATATTTTTCATATTTAGCGCCACTTTTGTTGCAACTTCTGAACCACGGTGCTCTCCAAGGAGTTTTGTAAAATGAGCCAGTTAACAAATTCAATCCCTTCAATCCCTTTATGCAGTAAGAGATAGTTGGATTAATAAAAATATTATACAGATATTATAACATCTTATTGGTGTACGTGTTTTGATTTTGTATGTTTTCATGTGTGTATTTATTTGTATGTATGTATACTTGCAAAAGTATGTGTTTCTATTCATTTCTTATTTTGTAATCATTAAAAATTCCTCAAAAAGTGTTCAATGTTTGTGTTTACTGATTCTTAAACTAATTTGGTTGTGACTGCATAGCAATGATACGATGTATTATTCTTTTGGAATGAAATCTAAACATATGATTGGAGGCGAGTACATGCGAACACAAGATCTCACATGTAACCATTAAAAGAGGTATCATAATTTAAAATGACACATGAAGAGAGTTGGCACGTTGTTTGACGCGCATCAGTGTCAACGCTCTGAGTTGTAGCTTTTTTAAATTCAGTTGTGAAATTCTTGGAGAAAATTGTGCGTGTATTTTGTGTGACTTTCAGGAATTTTAATTAATTAGTTTACAGAATACTTATAAATATTAAGTTTGTGCGTTCACTACTGTAGTTGATGTAGTTTTATTTATATGTGTAGTTTTAAAATCAAGGTCAATTTCAAGATTAAATTCAAGATATTCTAAACAATTACCAAAGGCGTTTAACATGATGTTATATTCTAGATGAACGTTTGAAACAAGAAATACACCCGACACCTTCAAAAGTGTTGCAAAATTAACAAAACAATATGCCAAAAAAGAGCCAATTGATAGTTTAAATTATTAAAAAGGACTAACCTGAACGAATTGTGAGTACATTGTGATTTAATTTTATTGTTAGATTTTTAAAAAATATAAGAATAGTATCGTGTTCCTGGTGTGTCATTTATTTGTGTACAAGATTCGCTCCAGATTAGTGACTTATTGAAGTTTTCGTCAGACAGAATGTCTAATTTGGGAGGCGTGATAGCCCAGTGGTTAAAGGCGTCTGGTCGTGTTTCGCAGTTTCCGGGTTCGAATATGACAAATAGACTCCCGCCAATTGCCTGCTTCTGTGATGCGTCGTTTAGCCCGTAATCCTATACTTGTTTGTGCCAGAGTTGTTGATTCCTCAGGACTTTGGAAGAGTGTACGGGACAGTTTTTAATCCATTTTCAATCAATTGCCTTTCTACACACAGTTTCTTTGTTAAGTTTCATTACCGCAAATGAGGTTTTCACCGAAGCTATTTTAAAACTTCCAACGAAAATTGATGCTGCCGAATGAAACGAGGTACGTGCATGCGTCGGAAATGTGATTTATGAGGATGTTTTTGCATGTATGCATGAGCTTTCACGCCTCCTGAAGCATCGCGTTGACGCCGATGCTTCATTCACAGCACATACATCTCTGCAGAGAGACGGCAAATCAAATAATGATGACGTATAATTATTCAGGCAGTGCTAGTCTCGTGGTGTGCCTCCAAAGTACCTCAAATGTTTGCGTGTGTGTGTGTGTGCGTGCGTGTGTGTGTGCCACATAAATCAGTTTTTTTTGTTACAAAAAAATTTTCCAACATGAAAAAAATGTTTCATTTAAATAAAATTTTGATCAAGAAAAAAATAAACTTATAGCAAAATTATTCACAAGTTAACCATTTTTTATACAAAATTAAAGTAGCTGATTTAATTAAAAATCACAAAAACAATGAATAATTTAATAAAATATATTAATTACAGCAAAAAGTTTCTGATGACTAAATCATGTGCAATTAAATTCTCGTTATTCACTAAAATATCATTACATCATTACGGCACAAAATTAAATTGCATGTTTGTACCGTATTTGGATTCATATTTTTGTGTGTTTGTACATGTGTCTGTTTGTTTGTTTTGGTATGTATGGCTGGTGAGCCAGCATGGCATTTTTGCAGAAGGCAGATGTAGGAACATAAATATGCAGAATGATGTTGTCGTGCTGTATGAGCTGACTAATGAATGAAATATGAACCATCAGAATTCGCACGTAATTCCTTTTAAAAATCAAGAAACAAAATTTTTTCTCGTTTGGCTTAAAATGTTCGCTTGTCAAATTAGCACTGTGCATATTAGCATTTTTTATTGCCAAGTTTGTTGTTACAAAGTTTAAAATTTTTTCAAACGTTTACTCTATTGGCTATTTATTGTCAAGTTGCTTGCTGTTGATTTTTATGCGTGAATGTTCATAATTGTTAAATATTTTAAAATTAAATTCACTCGAAATAATTAAAAAAGTTTAATATTGCAAAGTAATTAAAAATAATCTTTAAACATTGGAATTTTTTTAACTTTTCTTTAAAAAAAATTTAGCATACCATTTTTACATGTTAGCCCTTTTAATTTAAAAACTTGCTGGCTACAATTTAATCCATGTTTCCACTTTTCAACTCAGGCAGCATCATCAAGTTGATCCAACCTCCGTTTCAAAAATTTTCAAACTTTTCCATCAATTCATCTGCACGTCCAAACAACAACGCATTCTTCCTTCTATTAGTCCAAATGTTAAAAGCATTTTGGCATTTTTTTCATGCATATCCTAACATGAATACATTAATTCAACCATGCATCCATACATACATACATGCATTCATTCAACCATGCATTTTTTTATAGCGTCACTCCATTTCATTGCTCGTTTAATCCTTGCAATTGCATCGTCCCAATATTTATACCTCTCCTGATGACCTGTTCCCCCCTCATAGACAACAAAGTGGACGAGTCGCAACGTTATCCGAGAAAGCAATTCCAAAGAACATTTATATTGTAGTCTTTTTTCATCTCTTTATTTTTCTTTCCTTCATCTTCGCGTACATTTCGTTTTATTGCGACTTCATCTTTATTGATTTACATGTGATTATCATTAGGTACTTCGGCGTTCCTTAATGTTCCTCTCTTCAATCGTGTTTGAGCTTTAAAAATATTTATTGCAGCGTTGAAAACTTCTTTCCTATCCAAAAACGTGCATGTGAGAGTTGGTTGGAAGAAAACATGGATAGGATGCAAGCCTGTACCGATACATTGCAACAACCAACCAACACAACAAATAACAAAACTATCAACCTACCAAAACAACAACCAACCATCACAACAACCAACCAACACAACAATCAACCAACACAACAACCAACCACCACAACAACCACCACAACAACCAACCACCACAACAACCATCCAACACAACAACCTCACTAAAACCACTCCACACATACATGTTGCCTGTGCATGGGAGCAGGAAGATAGATATTAAACTGGGTACTCGCAGTTTTTCTATCGCCGTGAATGCCGTTTTGAAGATTGGTGTTGTTTCGCGCCAGAGACATTGACTTTCATTGTTGCTGCTGTTTATTAAAGAGCTGAATAAATTTAATTTAATTTTTTTGCAGCATCTTTCATAATATTAGTGTTCCTGGTAGCAGAACCATTTGAGATACACAGCCACTGATTGGCACGGAGAGCAACTAACTGCTTGACTCTTTCCACAATCGGATTGTGTAAACTGCTGTTGCAGGAGACCGCCTACCTCAGTTTTCGACATCACACTATAGAAGAATCTTCAACTTTAACAACTGAAATATTTCGTTCCTGTGTTTCGTTTCGTTCCAACTTGAATTAGGTTTTTGCTTCCATGGATGGCATGCAGTTTAGACAGTCCGATTGTGGAAAGAGTCAGGCAATTGTAATTTCGCAATTCAAACTGCATATTTCAGTTGTTAAAGTTGAAGCTTCTTTTATGGTGTGATGTCGAAAACTGAGGTAGGTGGTCTCAGACAACTTGTTCAAATTTGAGACGATCGTTTCTTTTGTCTATACTTTCAAAATAGTATAACTTCAATAATAATAATAATAATAATAATAATAAATAATAATAATACTTTTTTACTTTTTAAATTCCAAAATAGAGTAAAATCAGACTTATCCAAGACTAACAAAATATTAAATACAATTAAAAGTTTTAAGATAAAATCAATAATTAAATAATACATTGACTTGTCATTGTTGATGGAGAATCAGGACAATGATGATACGGTTGCATAAAAGTTGATTTCACACAATGTATCTTTCACAATAAATATCATAAAATGACGAAATTGAATTGCTTAACAAGGGATAATAATAATAACAATATTATCACCATTATGAATAAACAGCCACAAACAGTAGTGGTTGCAGCGGTAACGAAAATACAAGCGACAATAAGAGCATTGATAATGATTGAAGAAATAACAACATCAACTGCCTGGCAAATATTTATGCGAAAATTTTTTCACTTTTGATAGTTTATTGCGCTATTTCATTGTTTTTTTTTCTTTATATTTTTGCTGTTTATATTTTTTTTTCATTTTTTCCAATTAAAAAGATTTATGGGCGGATGTATGCGAGACATTTCCTTGCATCCAATGCTGCTTTTAATCTATTTTCCTACATAATTTTTTTTTTCACAGCCACCTTTTCTTGAAAGCTATTTATCGAAATGAATAAATTCAGTCCGAGTTAGACAGAAAAAATTTTGACGCTAAAGTAGGCGCGTGTGTGCCTGCTTGGGGGTTGGACTTTATGAATGCATGTAGGTTGTTGCTTGGCTCCAAGCTGGCTGCATAATACGCAGCACTAGCACCTCCATGTCTTTCAGAGAACTCGCTTCTCAAACACACGGGTCTTGTTAGATTTTGAGACGAACTTCATTCTAAATTCTAAACTATTTATATTGCACGAGCAAAGATTCTAACGTTGTTGTTTTTATAATTACAACATTTCTGATTGTTGTTGCTGAAGTTTTGTTACATTTTACTGGGCGTTCATACGTTCAATTTTGTATAAACAATCGAGGAAGAAAAAAAAAGACAACAATCCACATTTTGTTAAATAATCAAATTACGTAATTATGAAATTAATTGAATAAAACTGCATTAAAACTTTACTTTTTAACAAAATTTATTTAAATTAACCACCTTAAAACCAGATTGAACTATCAAGTTGCTTGTTGTTCTTTCCAAATTTAAATTATTTTTCATTTATACGTACAAAGCAGTTTTTTTTTCACTCCACATTCTTTTATTCAACATTTGAAACTTTCCATTAAGAAAAGGTGTTAGCGTCGACTCATAAATTAAATTACCATACATGTATTCTATAAGTTGAGATCTTTTGGAGTTCATTTTAGTTTGCATCAGGTTTATTCCATGACTCGCTTTACAAGGGTTGTCAATGTTAACTTAATTTTTTAAAATTTATTTCTATATTTTACTTTCACATTCAAGGCATCCAACACTTTTTACAGAAACATACACATTTACTAAAATCAAAATGTTCTTATGAATAAGAAAATATATAAAAAAAAATGTGTCGCTATAAAAATGGACAAAATCATTCTTATTCACACTAACACACGAGTGTGAAGGGAACATATTAATTTAAGTGGAATGCATCACCTTACACTTTTAACGTAGCAATCTCCTAGAATGGCGAAAAATTAAATAGATGAACCTACCAATAGATGACAGTACAGTTTCCAACTTTAGAAAAAATTACTAGTTTATTGATTCAAATAAATCAAACACCTCACGCAACAATTTAGTCACTTTTTGCCAAAAGAATTTTAATAAATTTCATTGCAGCCGTCAAATAAAATATTTTTAGAAATTCACTTACAATTAAACAAATTAATCTAATTAGGATAATAGGATTCGTTTCAATCACATAAGTTTAGATTATTCTCTACTACACAAACTGCATAGCATTAGTTTTTAGGTGAAATTAGCTAAAGGAAGAAAACACGGCTCGTTAGCGTTCTTCACGCTTGCTTGCAGTTAAGTTATTAAGATTCTCGATAGCTTTTTTTACGAAACGTGATAACACAGATTTTGATATCTGTATAGACACGTGAGACCATGCGTGCGTACGACCATGCACACGCCTGCCTAAATAATGTTATAGTTAGTTTATGCTTGCATTTGTTAAGCCAAGTCACGCGTGTCTTGCAGCGATACACAAAAGGCTGTCTGCTTTTTTACTTCATACTCAATCTGACTAGCAACATCAATCTAATTGTCTTGTCACTTGAGCAACTTTTAGTCCTATTTTTGTTTGTTAACACGCTTAAGTGAGTTCAGTCTGCCGCATCCAAGTTATCAAATGGCAAAATATTATATTAATTTAGTAACTGGAGTTTTTTAATAAGAATTATTGAATAACTAATAAAAAACAAATGTCTCCAGATGTTACCAGAGTGCAGTGTCCTTGAAGACATCCACCGTACTCCGTGCGACAGCGACACCACTTTAGCCAAACGACGCAGTTTTGCCGATCAGTACGTTTTACTTGTTCGACAAGATGCCACCGATTTTTTGGAAAACACATTTTCTAACACAACGCCAGAACTAGTAAAGGACCTCATTGTATTGCAAGATGAACGCCTGCCTTCAATCACATCTCTATTATCAAGAATCGAGCATTCCACTTTAACTTCCCTTTATATCATTGATTGCTGGTTGCGCTGGACCGACGAGGCAGTTAATAACAACGAAAATAATGCAACTTTTCCAAATAATACTGGTTTTAGTAGCAATACCGGTTATACGAGCAATACCCTTACGACGAGTAACAACCCTTGCGTTGATTCATCACAAATGCCTCCACCTCCACCTCCACCATACCGCACATCTTTACATCATCACCACCACCATCACCACATTTTTTCAAATGTTTTTGCCACTTGTAATTTACGCTTTTTAGTGCTTTCATATACGCACCTGACGCGTTTGCCTGAAAGTTTATTCAAAATGACTGCTTTAGAAATTTTAAAAGTCGATCACAACAATTTAGAAGAAATACCAAGCGAGATTGGGCAACTAATCAACTTGAAGACTTTTTGTTGTGACAGCCAACGACCTCGCTTGCGATCGTTACCCGCTTCTATCACTCGTCTACAGCGCCTAGAAATTTTGTCTTTCAGCAACAACCGGATAGAGAACATAGCCTGGATTGTGTCCATGCCTACATTACGAGTATTAAAATGCGATAGAAACCACATCACACGCTTGCCAGCCCACCTAGTTAGTCTCAAATTGACAACTTTAGATATAAGCCATAACCGCATCGAGTACATACCCCCAACGTTGGTCGAAATGTTTTGCCATCTCTATCATTTAGAGTATTTCAATTTAACATTAAGGCCGAAACATATACAACACGATAGATCTCAACTATTTAGCCACCTAGAAATGGAACATTATTTGCAGACGTTACAACAACAACAGCAATTGCAGCAACAACAACAACAGCAACCGCAACCACCTTATCAGCAACAAGCCAATCAACAATATTGCAATACTAGACTTGGAAGAGACATCACAATAGCAGTAGTTGGAGAAACACATTCAGGTAAATCTTCTCTAATAGAAGCGCTGAAAGATGACAAAGGAATAAGCAGAGGAATCATGGAATCTAACAAGACATCATCTATATCTACTTTACTCACAAGAGGACACACAGGATTCGAATCTCATCAGTTTGATATGCGCACCAGCGATGGTTTCACTAACTGTCACGTGAGTGTAATGGCAATGGGAAACGAGATTTTTGACAATTACAGCAAAAATTTAAAAGTTGATTTTTTTATCTTGACTTTTGATATGACTTCTCTCGAAATGCACAATGGTTCTCAGCATCTATTCGCCCGACACGTCAGCAGGTTGCAAATGTGGCTGCAAGCTCTTTACGAATTATCTCCAGAAACACCAGTTTTATTAGTAGGAACCCACGCAGAACTTGTCCGGTCGTCATCGTCGGTTACTGAAATATGGAACATAGTGGAAAGTTTATTAGATCAGGCAAGACAACACCACGCTAAACGGTACGGAGATAATCGGTGCCAATTTTGTTTAATATGCAATCCAAAAACAAGCGGTAGACAAACTGGACAGGGTAGAAATCGAATTGCCGTGTCAGGGGCGGGCTTCGTCGATTTGTCATCTCCTCATTTTGATGCTCCTTCTATTGTTAATGGACATCAACAAATAGATTCCAACCAATCAAACTTGCCAACTCAATCATCAAATCAAAATAATATGTTTTTAACGTCGACAATAAAAATCCATCATACGCGATACTCACACATTGCCGGCTACTACGAAGTTGATTCTAAAAAACCTTTTCCAAAAGATTCAAAAAAGGCCAATGCCAGTATTGACCAACTAAAAGTTGCAATAGTAAGACTGGCAAACCATCAAAACAAGCAACAACTTGTGCCATTGACTTGGCTGGCATTCGTTCGACACCTAACGACGATAAGGGAACAATCAAGTGGGATATCCAGTTTATCCTACGAAGAAATTATATCAATCGCCAGAAGTTTTGAAATCTCACCTCAACAAGTTAGCTTTTATAAAGTTTTTAGTTGACTTACATTGTGTCGTGCACGACAAAGAGAAACATATGTACAACATTTGAACTTGTTTTTGCAGAAGAAATGAAATAAATTGTTTGCATAAACTTTTTGAAATTTCATTTATATTAATGTTGAGAAAATTATGTTATAAAATAAAAAAAAAACCTATTCAAACGAAAATTTCTTCATTAAATGCAATTAAGTTATAATTAAATTAAATATGCTTCATATAGGTTCCAGTTATGTTACAATACTTTCACGAACGCGGAAACGTAGTGTATTTTCCCAACAATCCTAGTCTATCGCGTCTCGTCGTTATTAATCCAGCATGGTTTGTTTCTATGGTCAAAAAAGCCCTGGAAAGTTTTGACCAGAGTAAAAGTGACACTTCGCGAATATTACAGTGCCTCTCCGATAAAGATTTAGACAGACATTTGCAAAAGGCGTCAGGTTTGACGCCTAACAACACCATCGTTACATCGAGCGGTCAGTGGCTTCTGGCAGCACTACAAACTCTTGATTTGTGCTTACCTGTGGCTGACTGTCCAGCAACTGGTGATCAGGTCAGGTCATGATGCTTTTATTAATTATTACAATAAATTACTGGATATTTGGGTGAAACATTACTCATTTATTATTAAAAAAATAACAAATACAAACTTAGATACTTGTATTTCCGAATCTTCTTGAAAACGGATCTCCTAGTCAAGATGTATGGCCGGATGTTCCTGAATGGGATGAAAAACAGATAACGTGTGACTTTCGCTTCCGCTGTTTGAAACCCAATCAATTTATCGATTTCATCCGTTGCATCAACAGAGAAGGTAGAGTTTTATTAGAAATCGTTCCGGACCCTGTACCAGTTCTACTAGCACACCACATAGTATTTTTCACTGGAATTGATTTAGGTGGTTGCGATGATTGTTGCAACACTAGACGTAAACTAAGAATATCAGGAAGTGGAACTAACGGAAAGCAAACGTCTTACTATCAACAACAGCAACAACAGCAGCAACAGCAGCAACAATCACAACTGTTGCTACAACACTCACAACAGGCCTCGGTGGCTTCATCTTGTGATGAATTTGACCTGATGGATGATGTCATGCACAAAGTTCACATCACGCTCCACAGTAGTATGGACGCTATCAGGATTCAGGTATCCCAAGCGTAACGTTACCATATTCACCATAAAATTAATCCAGCTTGAAAATTTATTGCTCACAAATATAATATTATTTGTTAATACTCATTTGTTCCAATGTTACTAGATTCTCAAATTAAATTATAACTATGAAATTATCAAATTTAAGTTTGTTTTACGACAATTTAAAACTATTTAACTGAATAAGTAACTACTACTTTTAAAATGAGCTAATGAATTTTTAAAATAAAATAATTACAATACAAACAGGTTAGAGGAGTCAGTCCATGCTGCACAATGAAAGCGGTTTTAAACTTTTTAGAACTTTATTTTGATGACATACCCGACGAGTGTCCCAGCAACGCAGCTGCAACGGATTCAAGTTCATCAAACGCATCTGATCGAGCTAGTCTTAACTCACAAAGTGTCAGTTTTAGCTCCGAAAGTAGAGGAGGTAGTAGTAGTGGCGGCGTCACTGGACACCAAGCTACTGTTACGTCAAATATGACAGGGAGTGGACATCATTTTTTTGACGATGACGACGATCGTCAGTTTTTTCTTCTTTGTCCTAAATGTGTACTTTTACGGCATTCAAAGCCTGAAAAAATTGTTTATCACCAAAGTTCCAATGTAAAACGAAAAGCTATATGCAACAGATGGCACAACTTGGGTAGTTGGACTCGAGCCATCACTGGAGATTACCGATGCAGCAATACCGATATACACTTACAAACTAACTTAACAAGCCTTCCCGACTACGAACACCCGAGGCTGGTTTTAGTTTTGCCACCTAGTTTGGCCGTTTCAACAAAAGAATGGTACATGTTTTCAAGAGTAAAATTTTTAGAGGGATTCGAAGTACATTTTTTATGCGAAAATCCCACATATTGGCATATGACTGAAAACTCGGGTTTCAGGTTGCAATACACGTCAACTTTGAGGCAATCTCAACGTCCACCACTAGGTCAATTGTCTAAAAAATCGTCACATTTTAGCAATCAAATAACCACTATATTAGGCTTAGCTTTGTCAATGGTTCAGGTAGTCCAAGGGACAAATGAACACGGCCAGACTTGTCGCCTCATAGCGCCTGTCGTGGCAGACTTGATAAAAATGTACGATTACTTGAGAAATGTGGACCCTCATCTTACAGATTCTTACGCCTGGTTAACAAAAAATAAAGATCGAGTTGTTACGATGTTAACTAAAGTACTAGCTAACGCCAGCGATGGATTACCTGATTTGTATTTTAAGGCCGGAAGTTCTATTTCAACTGAAATGATGTTTCAATCGCCTTCGAAAGCGAACAGAAATGATTTGGCAAAGTTTCTGAAAGTAGAAACAACATCAGGTCGGTTTGGGCAACTGAGACCCCTTTACGTGGGTCGAGAAATAAGATGGGTTTGTGACGCTCATTATGAAGAACTTAGAACAATGCCGACAAAATGACCTGAACATATTTATTAGTTATATATATATATAATATATATATATAATATATATATATATATATAGTTTTTATGTTTTTTGGTACAGAACTCTGTATATAATTTTTACTACAAAAGTTGATGATATATAATCTATATTTATACTCTAACCCTAAAATATAATTTGGTAAAGTGCAACCAATACGAATAACCGAGACACAAGCATTTTACTTATATACGAATTCATGTACAATGTACATATAACTTATGCATGTTTATTACATTTTTAACTTGAAAACCATGAAGACAGTTTTCAAAAGAAGCTCTCTTTCACGAATAAACATATTTTTATCAGCACATGGAAAGTATTTTAAAGACGACTTTATTGACATCTCCCGGGTCTTCCGTTTTTAAAGTTACGGGAATCATTTCGTTTGCAAATTAAAAGATTCATTTTTATACGTACCATGAACTTTGTATTTATTTGTTTAAATTACATAGGTTTAAGCAAATTTATCGAACGTTTAATTTAATTAAAGTTTCCATTTTTATAGATGTTCCTGTTTAATACCAACTTTTACAGTTTAGTGTTCAATATCATTCTGTATTACATTACATAGCCTAGTTTCACTTTTTGAGTTAGTTTGCAGATTTAATTATTTTATAAATGTTATTTCATTATAATTACCTTTTCCTGACCTATGTTTTGTTGCGTACCATTTATGTAGACTTTTCCATCTTTAACCAAAACCCGCATCATTACGTGTTATAAAAATATTCTTTAGAACAAAAATAAAATTTTTGCAAAAATCACAAAAATTACAATGACTTCACATTCGTATGAACAAATTAATTCAACTGTTGATATTACGTTTTATCTGGATTAAATTATCACGAATTAATTAAATCCATTCGTTATATAAATTATCAGCATCATTTAGAACAGAATCTACAAAGATGAAAATAAGATAAAATCATCCAAATCAACATCAATAAAAAAGACGATGAAAAAAGACCACGAACAAACAAAACGACGACAACAACTGTGACGTCATTAACAGATGCGAATCTGATTGCAAAAATTCCACTGGCGAATAGGTAGGCGATTAAGTAAACCACGATGATTTGTTTGTTGATCGATGAACGCAGTTTACGATAAATCAATCAATCAATCGATCGATCGATCGACCAATCAATCAATCGATCGATCAATCAATCAACCAATCAATCAAATTAACAGAAACAAACGTTCTTTAACGATAACAAAATAAAGCAAGATCAGTCAGTTATGGCAAGCCGAGAGCACAAACAAAGATATTTAATTTAATACACATAAATGGCTGCTCATCCAGGTAAAGTCATAACAATACAGGTGTGATTGTGCTGTCAACAATCAATCAACAAACGAAACACTTGTTTTATTTTTTGGACTATTTATCGAATTTATAAATAAGTAAAATAAATTTTGTTCCTAAAAAGTTTACAGCAAATTAAATAAACATTCCATGAGGACAAAATTAAAATAAAATATCTTTATTTGACTTCTTTCATTTCGGATTTTGTTCAAAATTAAAAATTAAACGTTAATGTTTAATTTTCAATATTATTATTAAATTAATATTAACAATTAATTATTTTTATCTAATTTTAATTTAGTTTATTTTAATTAAAAATCTCTAAAAATTTTATTAATAATTAAAATGTGACAATAATTTTTATGGTGATGTGAGTACTCAACAAATTTTTAGTCATCAAATTGGAAGTTTTAAGGTTTATTAATAATAATTTTAAAATGTTCAGAAAAAAAATATAAATATAAAACTTTCCAATGGTTAACAATTGTTTTTAGTTAAGATTTCGTCAGAGCTACTAAAATGAAAAATTTTGAAATTTTATTTAGAGAATAAATTGAAAAACTATATATAACAATTATTTAAACATGTTTCCTATTGGAGCAAAAAAAACAAAAAAATTAAAAAATCATTGACAACAAACATATTATCAGACAAAAACTGTTGCAATGCCTTTGCATAACTCTAATTGGATAAACGAAGGACTGCCTAAGAATTGGAACTATGGTGTCATGCACGATGGCAGAATATTCTTCATTGAGTTGGCACGATTTCCGTTCACTGTTAACGTTTTATTTAATAAATGAATATATTTTATTCAAAATTTTTAATTGTAAAAATGTAAACACACAAAGTGTTGATTGTTTAAACTCTCACAATACTTCAAGTATGTAACGATATTCAAGCAAATAAAATCTCATGCAGTAGTGGATGTGAAGTCTTTTTTTTTAGATTCACTTGCTGTGGCACACACACCAGCTTCAAAATTTTGTCACTAAGTACAATATTCTTGTTTTATATGTTTATAATAGAAATATATTTTTTAATGATTTATTCATGTTAAAATTTGCAAATTTAAAATGATCATTCTTTGATGCAAACAAAGCGAGGAGCAGCACAGAACAACCTGGATGCACCCAACATTAGGTCACCCCCTTCAAACGGGATTGATGGACAGCCCAAGTTGGTTTTCTAAACATGTTCTGGTTGAAGTTTATATTTAGTTTTTATTTCACTTCACTGCTTATTAATTTAAACATTTTTTTTATGTAAGTTTAATTACATAAGTGTTATGAAGTTTTTTTGAAGTTTTGTTATGAAGTTTTGAATATATGTGTTTATTTGTAAATTTAACAAGACCTTCCATCTGGTTGGCAGTACGACATCGATGATATGCAGAGAATTTGCTTTGTTGAGTAAGGCGTTATCATGTATTAATGCATTTTTGTACTTTTTAAAACTTTTTAACACTATTTGTTGAAATGTTCACTTTTTTATTAACTATTTTTTTTTAAATTTGCTCACAAAATTAATTTTTTTTAAATAATCGTAAAATTAATGAGTAAATAGATTTAATGAATAAAAAATAATTTTTTAGTCATGTGCATGGCTTCACCACCCACAACATCCCAACTGATGACAACGCTGGCAGCAGCAACCTAGTTACTCCAAGAAGGTCTTCTGCATTTATTAACAATTCATAAGTTTACTATTTCAAATTCACAATAATTTTGTATTTATGTATGTATGTGTGTAAATTTGTTTGTTTGTTTGTATGAATGTATGTGTATGTATGTGTGTGTGCTTATGTATATTTGTATGTATGCATGTCCGTATGTTTAGTGTATGTATATTTTGTGTTGGAGATGTTAGATTCGGGTTAAAAAAGTTTATTTGTATCTTATTTGGCAAGGGAAGATTTGTGAGCAGGTAAGACCAAATAACTGCGTCTGTATATGTATAGAAATTTGTTTAAATTTTCTAGTTACTAGTGCAAAATTAACATTATTATCAATGAGAACTAAGTTATATTTTTTTTGTGAAGATGGAAATTTTAATCTGCTTTGAAATTATTTCAGCTCTACATTCGAACGAACGTCAGAAGCCACGGCGAGTCCGCTATTGAAGGTTTGTTTGAATGTTTTCCAATCTGATTGATGTGGTTTTTATTTTTTTTTAATTTTCAACATGAACTCAAATAACTTGGCGAATGCTAAATTTTTATTTGCACAGACCAGTTCAGCGAAAAGAAAATCTCAGACGAAGTATTTGCTGCCAACGTTTGATTACTATTTAAAATTTACTTCCACCATATTAAGTACTCTTAAGTTTTATTTTATTTTGTTTTGAAAATCAAAATAAAAATATAAAGATCTTTATACTTTATATTTTATATTTATATCAGTTAATAACATCAACTGAGGTCGTTTATAAAAATCGATAGATTTTATGATTTTGTTATCATTATCATATTTTTATTTATTTATTTATTATTATTATTTTTATTAGTATTTTCATTATTATTGATTTAGTATTTTTGTTGATATTGTTTTTATTTTTATACTTAAAACTCTTGTTGTCTTGTTGATGTCATACATGAAATGTTATTGAATGTCATAATGTCGTTGATTCCTTCCTGCCATTAATGTTACGGTGATGTTTTTTATAATTTTATCGCCAAAATAAACTCACTTGAAACCTCGTGGCCCGGAACTTCCTGCAGGTCCCTGGATAGGTACCCCCTGGCCAGGAGGGATCCTGAATTTCCCGCGGAGCTGCAAGGCTGTCTACTCAGGATGGTCAGTAATGGAAACGAACAAATCCAATTAAAAATACATAAATACTATATAACCCTTTTCATGATTATTGTTTAACAGTCATTCAATATTTTGGCTTGCAAGTTGGCATTATGAACGCCATGGCTCGCGTCATTTTTATTCATTGGCTCATTGACCTGTTTCGAATGCTTTCTTCCCCAAACTTAGACTATGAAGACCTGGGCTGGGTCTGCGCCTGTATACGATTTGTATGCATTTTGTGTTACGTTCATTTATACCTCACTTGTGACAAAAATTTGTTACCAACTTGGTATCAAACGTTATGTAAACAGGCTACGAGTTTCTCAGGATTGCATTTGCAATAGGTGTTAATTTTCTTTTAGTATGTGAACGAAGATAGTGTTCAGTTGTCTGAAAGAAGTTATTTTGTTTCGTTTCCTTAGGAGGGAGCCCTGTTGAAGCAGTGGAAGAAAAGATGGTTTGTTCTGGCTCAACAGCATCTCTTCTGTTACGAAGGTATACGTTTACCTAACCTCTCAACTATTTCTTTACACAGTTTAATTGTGTGTTTGTTTATTCATTCATTTATTTATTCATCCATTCATTCATTCATTCATTCATTCATTCATTCATTCATTCATTCATTCATTCATTCATTCATTCATTTATTCATCCATTTAATTATTTATTTATTCATGAATTATGAACGTGATAAACAATCTTTTCTTGCGTAAAAAACCACGTGTGCAATTAAAAAGTAAAAGTAAGGTGCAAAGTGGAAATTTTATAAACATAATTAATATAATAAGCAAAAAAGCTGACATTTGTGTGTGATATTAAAAGGCTGGTGGATTGGGACGCAGCAACAACCCGTCGAATCCTCCGCGAGGCAAATATGAGCAGCTAAGAAATGGTTCGTCGTGTAGATGATGAGCAAGTAATTGGTTCAAACTTGGAAAGGTCATTACTGTTCTTCACTAAAATGTGTGGTGGTGGGCCCTTAAGTGATGCATTAGATCAATTGAATTGACAACCAACTTGAAAACAAATATGAAAGTACAACCAAAGAAAATCCATACTGGCCCGGTCGTCGCCCAACATAAAAAGGACCGCAGCGACAGTTGAACGATTTCGGTTGCCGCTGAAAAGTGGACTAAAAATCAAACAATAAAGACGCTCTACATGGCCGGTAATTGGCATAAACTCGAGATCAAACAAACGTGTATAGCTTTTGATCTAGTTTTGAGAAATTGTTTCGAGGTCTTCTACAACATGACTCTTGTTGGCACATCTGATATCAGAATCCAAAATACTTGCTTGTCGTGCCACACAACGTTAACGCATCGTGCGTTGTGTCATCCACACTATCGAGTGTGTTCATCTTGTTTGAACTAATCAATGTCAATCCATGGTCAATCGGTACTCACTCTTATAATCACAATGTTTCAATTCAATACATTTATATGTATAATACCCAACAGGTTTGCTATTTTGTTAAGTTTTACAAACAATTTTTATGACATTAAAACTATTTTATTAAATTTCCTAGACATAAGTGAGAAGAAGTGTTTGAGCACTTACTACCTGCCTGGCCACACTATGAAGTCTGCTTATGGGGAGCCTGGTGTCTTGAAGCGATTCTCAATCAAGGTAGAGAGACTCTGCTCTTTCTTTATTTTTATTATTATTGTCATCATCATTGTCATTGTTGTTATTATTATTGTTGTTGTTGTCGCTGTTGTTGATGTTACCATTTTAGTTGTTGTCATCATCACTTATGATTGTCATTGAAATTGTATTTGTAATTTTTATTTTTGTTATTGCTCTTATAAACATTTGTAAAAACATGATTTGTTCACATATTTGAGTTAGGTCTAATAAATACCGTTGTCTACCTATACAAGTCCTATTCCTATTTGGTCACAACAGACCAAATTGCTATCTCTACTGCTGCGGTTGTTTGGTTTTAAATAAATGAACTGAGTAAATAAACTTTAAAAATAGACGCTATTTAAATATTGTGGAATTTTGGAAAATTTCAATGAACAACTTTGAGGTTGAGGACGTATTTTGAAATTTTGAAATTTTTTAGGAAGAATTTAAAGTGCGGTCTGCACAGTTAGCAAAGTCTTCAACACGCTTCATGAAAATAAAGATGATTATTTCGAGCTCATAGAGATGTGAATATTTATTTTTGAAAAGAAATTGCTAAAAAATGTTCAATGTTTGTTTGTGCTACATGAATGAGGAATGGCTCTGAGATATAAAATTATAACAGTTGAATTTTGAAAATTTCGACCCACAATGATGCATAGCATAATATATAGGCCGTGTCTATTATAACCGCATAGGTGGATGCTTAGACAGGTGGCTTGTTTGTTCTAAGTTTGTTCTACACTGCAAGAGACGTACACACACATTCAGTTTATTATTAACCGTTGAAAAAATTATACAGAACGTGTTTTTCATTTGCTACATCAGCGCCGCAACCAAAAGTTCATTCATTTTAATAAATTCATTTCAAAGACCACTAACGCAATAATTAGACATTTCTTTTAAATTTGAAAAAATTAAAAAATATCGTTAGTCAGTTAACAGTTTAGAAGATTTAAATAATTTATTTATCGCCATAATTATGAAGCATTTGCATCGAAACGTCGGCTTTTTATTTTATAATTGTTAATAATTTCATAAAAAGGATAATCTTATTCATTCACATGTTTAATAAATATTTAATGTTTGTGTTGTTAATAACATGTGAGAGCACGCGGGAGTTAGTTGTGTACGTGTATACGTGCATGCAAACGTTCTCCATCCAGTCATACCTCTACTTCCTCGTGTTACAGTAGTGCGTGAAATTAAATTATTAAGCTTTTGGTCACGCCATATTCATAGTTATACCTAACTCAAGGCATTTGAGTGTAAGTAAGTAAATTTTACACACACACAAACACACACAACACTGACACTAACTGTATCGCATTTTAATAATGCTCACCTGCTGACCTTTAAGATATAATGTTACTTGAAAAGAAGTTTTAAATTTCAAAATACTTAACGCCGTTCATTACGTAACATGTGTAGATTGAGAATGACCAAGCGAAGACATTATATGTGGCGTCCGATGATGCTGGCGACATGCAAGTTTGGATGAATGCAGTTGGCAAGTACTCGTCCAGCAACATCAACAACATCAACAGCAACCGTGGGACTGCCGATGCCAAGTTTTTCATCGAAGGTGACGAAAATGAGGATGACGTCTTTTCTCACAATCCGCCACGAAGATCGTCATCAGTTGGATCACGAAATAAAAAATCGCTACGAAGATCGTCAAGTCGTCAATCGGCTCTTCAAAATATTTCAAGCAACTTTGCTGCCAGGCACAACAGTGAGGTAGGAACATTGAAGAGTTCCTACAGTTTGCACAACAGCTTCAACAACACTTTGCGTAGCAGCAGTAGTAAACAACAACTCAATTCACCATTCAAATTGAATTACACTGAACAAAGATGTCGAACGCCTGTCTACAGTTCGAGCAATGCATTCGAAAACGCAAGCAACAAAAAATCATTTTCATCTGCGTCGCTACAGAACAGAAATCCGCAACATTTTGATCAATCAATCGACTATGTGAACGAGTTAAGAGGTGATGTTATTGATGGAGCTACTACATCGCAGCACAATTTCAAAATACAAAAGAATTATCTAATTAAAAATTCATTACCTAACACGCAGCAACAGTTTACCGACAATTCCTTTCCAAACTCGAAACAACCACGATCGTCTCATTACGACTTCAACAAACAGTTGCAACCGCAACAATTACAATCACAAAGAGATCTTGCAACACCTAGCTCAACATTCTCTGTGGCGTCACTTAACTCGGACAGAAACTATTTTGACAGAAATTCCAACTTTTACAAATCAAAATCGGCATTCAACGCTGCACCGACAACTAACTACAAACAGAATTATTCGGACAATCCTGGTGACATTTCAACTAATTTGAACAGAAATAATTTCAACAATTTAAACACAAATGTCAATTCTTATCCTAACAACAATTTGATGATAGAATCTCACTTGAACAGTCAACCTGCATACAATGATATTTTAAGGCCAAAGTTAAATAAAAACATTAACGGTTCATTTCATCACAACCCACAACAACAAATGCAACAACAATCACAGAAACAGCGAAACGAACAACTCCATCAACCATACCACCACCAACAACGATATCAATATTCTTCTAATTTTTCAACTCATCACAACCAGCCCTCGCACAGAGCATTAAGTTCCAACAAGGAGAGTAATCAATCTTTAAATGACCAATCAATCCGCAAACAAATCAACCAACCGATGGACCAATCGATCAATTATTCTATCAATCAGCCAATCAGCCAGCGTGTTAATCAAATTACGAAACAATCGTCTGCAGCATCCCAATCACCCCAATCCTTCCAGGACAACTTCAGCAGTGTTTCAAAATACAGCTCCAGTAACAATAGATTGAACGAAAAACCACAAAAGCCGCCACGAATGTCCGATGTAAATTTAATGAAACACCAACAGCAGCCAGAATTTCATCCGCAGTATCAACAAAATCACCAACAACAATATCAACAACATCAGAATAATTTCCAACGTTCTTCAAAGTCAGTAGAATCTCTGAACACCCTCAAGACTGCTGCCTCATCGAAAACTTCTAGCAAGAACACTTACATTCTGAACAATCCTGAGAGTGAGAACAAATTGAGTGTGAACCAGTCGAGCAGCGTGTATGATAGCAACATGTTCAACAATCAACAGAAATTTAACAGGGACTCTAATTCTTCGTATGTTGGCAAACATTCCACTCTGATTAACCAACAGCAACAACTACTACGACAGCAGCAGTCAGACTGGACCCCACTGAAATACAACATCGATGCCATCAAGGAAGACCCTGACATGCTTGATACTGAAGTTTTAGTTAGTTCTTTTTTCATTCGTTGTTGTTAGATTTTTTTTATAATTAAACCCGAATTTTTACGATGAAATGCCTTTAACCATTATTTTTAAAAAATGAGATAAAAACAAGATGAAAAGCAGATTTTTTCATGCTAAGTTTGCAATGAAGTGAACATTTTTTTGTAAAAAATGTAAACTTCGTTGTTTTATTTTTTATTTTGAGGATACATTTTTTATAAATTTCTGGCAACGTTGCAGACATCACGTAACTTGCAAGATTTGCAGAGGAAACTGGCCAGCCACACGCGGTTGAGACTGAGCATTTCAGTGCAGGATCTCATGGGCCGAAGCGTTTGTACCTCTTCTCTTCAAACTGATTTATAATCTTTCAAGTGTTTCGAAATTATTTGTGCATCTGATGAATCTGACATAACATTTTACAATTTTTAAATGATTCAAATTAGGAAAGTTTTTAATGGATCTAATTAACTCGTGCCTGCTTATTTATTCAACTTTGTTTGTTCAATCACATTTAATTGAATATTTTCAACAAAAATTTAGATGGCAGACAAGTGTTGTAAATTTGACTTAGTGAAATGTTGTAAGCATTGTTTTTTGTACTTGTTGAATGTTGCGACAGTTTACACTTGTCTAATTTGTTTCAATTATTCAAACTCTTGAACTGAAGTATGAAGAACTGGTTCTCTTTCTCATTCAACTGAAACGAAGTCAGTCAGAACTACAAAAAATCTGTGAGGTGACAAGGAGCCAGCCAGCCGGCAGCATCGATTACAAGTTGACTTCTTATAATTGTTCAACTGCAATTGGCATATATTTTAAAGCTTATTTATAATGATTACTTCAATGAGAATCCTTTCAACTTGTTCTTGATAACAATCAAAGTTTAATGAAGCAAACGGAAAGTGCAGAGAAACAAATGGAGGTGACCCAACCGCTGATCAACCTGCTGGACAACATGCTGACCATGGGCAGTCTCTACAATGGCGACAGTCTCATGTACGCTTCTCAGTACAAGACGGTTTGTACGGCATTGTTAGACTGATTGGTTGAATGACTAGCCATGTTTTAAAAAAATATTGATTGGTTGGCCGATTGGTTGGTTGGTTGATTGATTGGTTGGCTTATGAGTGACTTGAAACACTTTTGACTATAAAATGGTTGTTTAATCAATCAGTTCATTTGTAGTTGATCAACAAGTTGATGAACAATTTGTTATTTGATGGACGTATTTTTTTGACGACGTTCATTTCAGAATCAGTTGAAGCCGGAGGAAGTTGTGCCAGCGAAGCCTATGCTGGAGTTCAATCGCATAAGGCAGGAGCGCAGTTTGCTGAGGTCATCGAGAAGATCATCACCGTCACCACCATCTCGTCGCTCGAACAATCAAAACAATCCGAGATCTAATAACGATGCCGACGATGGTGCCGGTGATGATGATGATGTGAGTGCGGAAGTCATCGTGGGACGTCTGGAGGTGCAGCTGAATGAGTTGCACCGATTGGATGGTCTGATGCACGCGCAGTCAACTATCGTCAGCGACCTGCTCCAAGACAAAGTACCTACCTACCTACCTACCTACCTACCTACCTACCAACCTACCTACCTACCTACCTACCTACCTACCTACCTACCTACCTACCTACCTACCTACCTACCTACCTACCTACCTATCTGTTTATTTATTTATTTTTCATTATAGAGGACCAAATAAGTTTAAAATAAACTTGCAGAGAGGCCACCCTTAACTAAGTCATAAATAAACATAAAAGTTCAAAAGTTAGAAATTAAGAAAATCCATTTCAGCATTCAAATGCATTCAAATACTAAATCAAAATTTTATAAAAATGTTAACTAGAATGAAATACATTCAGATAGTTTTTATGAAGTAGTCAAATAGTCGTAATAATAGCGGACAGACAAAAACACACGCACCACACACACACACACACACACACACACACACACACACACACACACACACACACATTCATATTTAAACAACAGCTATATATTAATGTATATAAATCGTTAGATGGTGGTGTTGTTTGTTTTGTCTGTGTTTTTTGTTGATGTTTTTGTCAGCTGTGCTTAATTTCTCCATCACAATTCGTTATCATTCTTAACAATGTTATTTTTGAAAAATTGTGCGTTGTTACTAAATTTGTTAAATTTTTTTTGAAGCAAGTTTTTTTTCGTTGCACTGATCATCTGTAAAAGTTGGTTGTTATTGCTATTGGTCCGATCCGATCGATGTTATGTTGATAAAGTCGTGATAGACGTCACCATCATCATCACCATCATCGTGACAACTTCCAGGTCCTCCTGGAAAAAAGTCTGCATGAAGTGGACAAGCAGCAGAAGCTTCTCAGCTCAGCAGCCGACGACGACGTCCGCCTCGCTTACCTCAACAGTCAAAAGACTTCACTGCAGGATGATGTGGCTCGTGTTGTCCTCCAAATTCAACAGCAGCAACAAGTTGGTCTTTAACAGATTTTTTTATAATATAAAGCCGGCAACGTATTCATTTGTACTTATTCATCTTGTGACGATGTTGTCGTCATTATTGCGGAGAACCTCTTAAGACGAGATCATTGCATAACCTCCGTTCAACATCGCAGCAATGATTTTATACGTTCATTTAATGTGTGTTGGACAGGTTTTGAACAAAACTCGATCAGACTTGGACACCTGCGAACGTGCCATCATCCAGCTGAGAAACAAGTGGCAACTCATCAATAAGGACATCAACGCCCCCCACGACACTGGAGAACACCGCTTTGTAATTTTTAATGTTCTATCTTTTAAAATTTAAAGTTTAAACATTTTCTAATATTATCGATTGCTTATTCCAACTATGAATTTCAGTGTTTCAATCAGGATGTCGGAGTTGTGACTCCGGAGAGAGCTAAGGAGTTATCTAAATTCTAAATAATGATTTTTCAAATGTTTCAAGCTCGCACAACCATCTTTTATTTTGATTGTCAAATTTACCAACGCATTGTGCAGACATTTTCAATTTGAACAAATTAAAGAAAAAAAGATTGTTTTAAAAACACTTCAAACTGTTAGATTTTGGCTTTACAACTAAAGAAGGCATTTGTTGTGAATTTATTATTTATTTGAACACTACTTAATTGTTACATTATTAATGAGTAAATATTAAAATAAAAGTCATAGTTTATTTAAGTATGAAATTTTATTTCAAAATTTCAGAGCTTTTTTGACATTTTTAAATTACAACCATTTCGGTAACTTTTGTATTGAATGTAAAAAATAATATTTTTAAAATTTTATTGGAATCGTGCAAACATCACCTTTAAAAAATGCTACCTTGAAAAAATGAACAACCGGTTGCAACTCCACGCATTGCTTGTGTTTTGATTCCATTTCTTAAGGTCGCCATGCTACGATAACGTTTCGCATCTTTCATTCTTTCGATGTTCCGTTGTTTCACGATGCTTTTCAAGTCTTCCACCAAACTTTAATTTTTATTTTTTGGTTTCCGATTTTCCAAACTTTTCTAAATTTTTAACGTTTTTATTATTTTTTTCAGCTATTATTGTAATTATAATACGGCCTGTCTTGTAATAAAATCATAAGATGTTATTCAATTCAATCACTTTCACCAATACAGAAGATGTAGAAATGTTTTTCTTCATAATGCTGTCATGATATTAGCCAACCATGAAATTTCCGTCTCTGCTCGGCAGCAAAATAGTATTATTTTTTTGCACAGCTACGAACAATTGAAAAATTATGGAGTCGAGTGAATTTTCGTCTGACACACTCGTTTCGGTACTCCGTTTGTTGTTGTTTCCTTCTTTTTTATAAGACTGGCATTCTGTGTCATCTTGCTAGATGGACCTTTCTTGCCAATTTCAACCAACTTCTGATGCACCAAACAAGCTGACATTTTAAGGGCAGACGTGTGTTGAGACACACTTGTATTGTTAACGGGCTTGAACTTGATACCATTGTGAAGGATATTAGTATATGCTCAATAATGTCTTAGCAAAATGTGTTCACAGGAAACCAGTCATAACGTAAACAAGAACCCCAGACTCTTTGAAATGGAGCAACAACTTAGGAATGTTGAAAGTGCGTTGAAAGGTGCTGGCAGCAAAAAATCAACAATTTCTAATGACATCACATCACTGAAAAGATCAAAATCTGGTAATCTCTTACTTAATTTCCTCTGATGTTATATCGGTTGTTGATTTGATTGCATAAACTGGTAATAACTTGCATGAACACCCTGCAGTTACCTACGTTCCTGAAGATGAAGACAGCCTCAACAACTATGCTGACAACAACCAGAGTCACAACATTTATTTGGAAACAGACTTGGACAGAAACATAACTGAAAACATATCTACGATTGTTGGTATTCTCATGACGTTAAAGCTTGCATAGCTTACTTACAAATTTCAATGTAACCGAAGCAGACTAGTAAAACATTTCTCATTTGAAAATTCTAGCGCGCAACATAAACACGCATACAAACAAGCGTACAGACACGCATACAAACGAACACACACACACGCACAAGCATGCACACATTCAAACACGGAGACAAGTACACTCTGGTCACTGACCTGTTTTATATTATAGACGTTCTGCATATGTTTATTGTAAATGTTTAACAATTTTTTGCAGATTACAACTCATGGTCACCAGGATGATTGCAAGTTTATTTTAATGATATAATTTATATTTCGTACTAAATGGGTTTCAAAATTAATTTTGAAATATTCAATCAACTCATTGTTTTTCATTCTTTCATTTTTTTATATTATTAATTTACAATGTCTTTGTAGCAATGCAACGGTCCAGATCTTTACCTAGGGGAATAAACTTCAACAACAACATCAAAAACCAGAACAACATTTTTAGACAGAACACTTTTGAACACAGCTACAATTTCCGCCACAAACAGAATGATTCCGACAGACACAAGGGCAACGTCGTTAACAACAACAACGACAACCTCACTAACCATAACAACATTAACAGCAACATTACTGACGACATCAGTAACAACATCAATAACAACAGCAGTGACCTCGTCAACAAAAACTTCGTCACCAACCATCCAAGACCGAGTAGACTTTCGGCTTTTGAGAGTTTGAAAATTAAAATTCCTGAAAAAAGACAGCAACAGACCATGAATGCAAATCATGCAAGCCAGTCGAAGAATTACAACGAACAACAGTACAACATCGCAAGTGATCGAAACGTTCGCACCAACGACAACCTAATAAGCAAGAGTTACGACATGAACCACAACTTTGAAAGCACTAACACGAGTAGATCCGTGCTACCTTACAACAATAACAACGTTAACGGCATCAAGGGTGGTGGCGCTGAACCTCCCGCATCTTCCTCCCACATTCAAACTCGAGCAAGCTACATTCAGAAAGTTGTTAGTGCTCGTTCATTCAAACTTTAACACGAGCAGAACTCGCCGCATTCTATTTAGGATGGCATTAGGATATATCTAATTGTAGTTACTAATGTTTAATATCTTATTTCATAAAAATTTCAGTTTTCTGTATTTTAAATTTCTAAACTTCAATTTCATGTAACCTTTAATTTGTTTGCTTTTAGCATAATAATTTCAGCTTATAGTTTTTAATTCTGATTTCAAAACAATGATTTAACAATTTTTGTTTCCACCAACTGAACAAACTCATCTGCACGTGGCTTATTAACAAATCTTTCGACAACCAAACCTCATTTTCGTCCATCCGACTTGGTACTGCGCAGCATACAGTGGGCCACCACTCGCCCGAACTCGGCGCAGAGTTTGACGAGAACACGATCACGAAGGCTGTGGTAAGTCTTCATGGGCTGCATGCCACGGTTCACTCACTCACAAACATCCTCACTTCCTTCAATCTTTGCACCTCTTCACTGTCATTCATTTTTTATGTTCATGTTCTATTGTTTTGTTCATTTATTAGTTTTTTTACATTTACTTATTTATAAAACACTTTATATATATACATATATATATATATAAATAATATATATATATATATATATATATAATTTTGTATAATATATATATATATATATATATATATATTTATAAAACACTTTATATATATATATATATATATACAGTTTTTTTACATTTATTTATTTATAAAACACTTCATATATATATATATATATATATATATATATATATGTATAATATATTTTGGGTTTAGACTATCATAAATACAATTATTTATAAAGATCACTGCGTTTTCGGCATTATTCAACTACAAATTGAATAATGCCGAAGCTTATCCTTAGCTCCCGGTCCTACGTACATTATAACTTGTTTATAATGCTATTAATTGTCGTTGTTTTAGAAATTAATTTTTGAATCCACATAAATATTATTCAAATGTTATGTAAATCACGATTTAAAAAAGTTAACCATACAATTATTCAATCGCTGTTTTCAATGAGCTTGGTCACTCGACTAATCATTAAAAAGATAATGCTTGATGACTGAATGATGTTGACGAACGTTGCAATCTGCAGTTGAGGCCACCACCACAGGTAGACATCCCGCAGCGCTACATCCCAGATCCAGAGGACCTCAACAACATCAAGAACAATTTGAATCCAGTTCAAAATTATTTCAAACAGCAAAAGGTTGAACAAATGAAAAAACTTCTGGCAGCTCAGAGGTTTTAAACAGTTTTCAACTAAATTTCACAACTTTATCATTATTATTATTAGTGTTGTTGTTTTTGTGTTTATTATTATTATTGTTGTTGTTTTTGCTGCTTAGTTATTATTTCAAAGTTTTTGATGCAAATTTATTATAATGCTTGTTGTACAATCAAACGCAGAGACTAACTTTGTGAGGTGAAAATTTTTTGACGAGATGATCTGTTTGTTTAAACAGCTTACAGGAATTCAACTTGAACGAGTTGGCAGCAACAAATGGCGAGGATGTGAACGAGAGGATCAGGCTGGAGTTGAAGGAGAGAGAGGACATCCTAGACATGAAGATGAGCCTGGCAAAACAAGTCACCGAGAAGAGCAGACACTTGGCAGGTTGACTTAAAATTGTTTTGCGAAGTCTTTTGCGTCATATTTCATTGAAACTGTTTACCCTTGATTCACTTTTTTTCTTAGTTCACTGTAAAGTAAGCAAACAATCAATCGTCACATAATAGAGCCAAAAATATTCTGCACAGGATTAAATGTGGCCAACGTAAGATTTCTTTATTGTCCTGGCAAATATGTTACTTCTTTTTTGTCATCTTTGTAAATAATGAGCGTCTGTAAGCTATTCTCATAAAATGGATGTTGCAGGTAGTGCCTGATCACCTACTATTCTTTACATTTTGTCTCTCTATTCTACCCAGTTCTCTATTCTCAGTTCTCAGTATAGTCTCTTTCTATTGTATTTCCGCTTTAGTCATCTCCATTTGTCCAGTTATTTAATTCTCCCCAATTATATTGTATAGATTATAAAACGCTGTAACATTTTGAACGCAGAATTCTAGTGATGTGCATACAGTCAAACAATCCGTTAGAGTAGGTTCAAAACAATGAATGCGTTTAAAACAGCATTTCATAACCAAAATATTTCTCAGATTAATTGCTTTATTTTTTGTTCATCAATATCAAACGAAAATTTGTAGTTGAAAGTTCGTCTACGTTTAACATTGTAACCACTTTAACTGACAGCTAACCAGCAACAACATCAGTTAAGAAGAACTAACCTACACATTTTGTAATCTATTGAAAGCTTTCTAACAGCATTTTCAACAAGTTTTTGTTGATCACTAAACTTGAACATTTCAAATTTCATCAATCGAAATCATTTTAATTATAATTTTTGTAGTTAGTAGATTTTTTCAAAGCAAGTCAGAACTTGCTAAATTTTCACTAACAAAGTAGGGCTTGTAATGGAAAAATATTTTTTGAATTGATCATGTTGATTTTTGAACAAGTTAATATTATAATTAATTCCGTTTTTTCATTTATACAATTTTTATAAAATTTGTTTCATTGTTAGGCTAAGATGATCTTGATATTTCGATCTGATTACAAGTTTAAATAAGGCGCTTTATCATTGCAGTCGCCATTTAATGTTTGTTTTTTGCATGCATGCGTTCGTTTTTTATTTTGTTAAAAGTAAAATAATATCTATTTGTTCTTTGATATTTAAGCGTTTCATATTTATTTTATGGGTTATCTTTGATTAAACAATTTGTAATCGTTTTAAAAATTGTTTTATTCACATAAAATTAGGAATAGATTGATTTGAAAAATTGTGAACAATTCAACGTCTTTTTTTATAGCTTATCGACATTAAATATTCAATTAAAAATATTTAGGTCTTTAAAACAATCGGCGGGAAATCGTCTGACGTTGGCATTCAGAGCACATTTTCATTAAGTTTTCTAGAGCTTCGCTGATGTTGGTTAAAGATGGCAAGATAGGTTGAAGGTGCTGGGGAAGCGATTTACGTACTGTTAGCAAATTCATCAAACTAACAAGTTAATAAAACAAAAAAAAATCAAACTGTATGTTATCTGGTTACAAAAAAATTGAGGAGCACTGCGCACCCTGTCTGACAGTTCTTTCAATCTGACAACAATGTCCAGCTGGGTTATTAGTGAAACCAATAGCCGCCAGGATGTCTCTGTCTCGGAGAGCAGTCTTTGTTGGTAATTTTCAGTAGGTTATTTCCATTTTGGAAAAAATTTTTTGAACATTGTAAAACCAAAACGAAGTGCCATGCCTCTATTATGCATGTATATAGTGTTGCGTAAAATCATATTCACTCTTCAAAAGTTGAATTTATAATCAATATTAAAATCAAAACACACAGTACAAAAAATTAAATAAAATCACATTTGAAATGATTTAAATGACAAACTTCAAGTTATTTATTTAAAGGTATTAACACATTCATATTTTGTTGACTTATTTGGTGCGTGTGTTTATGTGTGTCAAGTTTTTATGCTCTCAAAAATCCTAGAGAACAACGTGTCTCTATTTCCTATATTTTCTAAAATCTAAAACTTTGGGATAAAAGTGGCGAAGTTTGTTAATAGTTTTTATATTTATGGATTTCGTCTAAAACTATAAAATTTGCAAAAGTTAATAACTTCGGTATGATGAAATTACTTGTTCATGCTTCTTCCGTTGTTGACTTCTGTTGTACTTTCATTTCGAAAGGACATGTCAGTGAAACTGTTGTCCAGTATTTTCATGTCTTTGTTTACCATTTGATCAAGCCAAACGATCAGTTCGGGTTCAACCTGAAGAGTGAACGAAACAATACATTTGGCTTTATTTTTGATGATTAGCAATCATGATTAGTATCTAACTTTATCCTCTCCTGCTGACCTCATATCATTGATAAATTTGTTGACATTGAGCTTCATATCAGCCAGCAGCTCCAGTACTTCGTTTTTATTTTTACTTGCTTCTGCCGTACTAATGTGATGAGTAGAAGCTGTGTCGTTGTTTTCAGCTTCTGGTAATGTTGGACACATGTATTCCCCGTTGTACTTCTTATCGACATCGTTCAGCATCAGCCTGTCGCATTTTGAGAGCTGAAACAAAATTGCAAGTGTTTTATATATTTTTTTCATAACTTTTCATATTTATTTACAGTTTTCCAAAAATTTGGATTCAACTTACAAGAATTTCACAAATTAAAGTTGTCAACTTGAAAGTATCTTCGTCGAAGGGGTAGCAAAATGATGACGATTGAGGTGGTGGATCTGCAGAGATGGTCAACAGAGATTGGGATGGTGAACCAGGCGGAGGCAACGGTAAAAATGTTGTTGAGTGGTACTTGTAAACGTTGAGAAGGGCTTTTATTTTTTCCAATTTTTCAGTCCATCCTTTTTTAAGCATCAGTTTTTCCGCTACAATTTTCTATTAGTGTTTATATTTGTTAAGACAGTCGATTTACATTAAATATATTGAACACAGAAAACAACTGCTTCAGATGTTTAAACATGCAGACCACCAAAAAGATCGAAAATAAATTACCTCGGCAGACACCAAATTTGAAGTACCATCATCAGTTTCCTCGTCTAAACTGTACTTCAGTTCAAATATTTTTTCATCAATATGATTGCAGAGTTGTCTGATGATGTCATCAGTTTTTGTCCAATCACTGAGAAGATTGACGTTCGCCACATCTGAAGCATCAACTAACAAAAATAGTGATTTAAAAGATTTGTGAATAATTATGAACATTAAAAAAACACAGTTCTGCCATTTCATATAGCTTGGCTCGATTGAAGTCTTAGTTGCCAACTGTTCGCAACAGTTTTGCAATGATGTGAAGTTCGCGCGGAAATTGTTGTTGTTGCTAAACAACCCTGGTGACATGTTGAAAATTTGTGTCATAATTTCTACTTGTTTCATCAAATGGTTGATCTGAAAGTTTAAAAAACATGTAATTTTAGTGAGAACAGCAGTTGGGTAATCAAATTATTTTATATAATAACCCAATTTTTGCCGTTTTTCAACGTGAATCCGCAAAACGCATTTCTTGGCACTGGGTTCCACAAACAAAGTTCAGTGTCCAAACTTTTCCTCAATGAAAACATCTTATTGAAAAAACAATAAAACTGAATGCGCCAACAATGTATTGGATAAATTTTGATATTCTTTGCTTCTCTAAAAAAAGGAACTTACGTTCTACAAAATAAACGATGAAGTTTAAGCGAACAAACCGTGTTGATAAGGAGAACTGAGACCTGATCAAGATATTCGGTATAGTCAACATCCAAAGAAGCAACCCTCTGCATGCACTCTTGGTACGCAAATAACAACTGCCTCACGTGCTTCAACTGGTATCGAACTTTCTGTCTGAATTAGTTTTTTTAATTTGAATCATCAAGCCGCAAACAATTCAGTTGTACTCTCAATTGAGACAAACGCATTACTTATAGTTATAAATTGATGAGATAATGAGGAGTTGCTGAATTTTTCATATTTTCAAGTAATTGAATGCTTCGCAGAAATGTACAGCACAACTATTAACAAAAAATATGTTCCTTTTGTCAGATAACTGAAATTTAAAAAACTTCAAAAAAAATTCTGAAAGATGAAACACAGAAACAAACCTTTGACCGATTGAAAGTTTTATATGGCACAAGCGGCATGACGATGCAACCTCTTCTCCAGCATCCACCAGCTGCTCAACCTCACAAACCAGATCCCACCAGAGCATTTTGTTCTCCATGCCGCTTAATGCTTTATCTTTCAGTTTATTCACCAATCCTTCTAATCTTTTGTACGTGTGATTATCTATAAATAAATTCAAATGACTGTTAAATAAAGCAAATAAAATGAAGCGTTCTTGGATGCATTTTAATGTTAGGTGTGTACGTTTTTATTTGAATCAATAACTTTAAATTCATTAATAAATTAGCGTTAACTTTGAAATAGGCAAAAGTAAGGAACCAAAATCTTGGACTTGAATTGTGCCTGCATGCCCTCTTATCGAACGAATCAAACCTTCGATAGTCAGTGAACGGCTCTTGCTCTTTTTTTCAGATGATTCAAACGTGTACTGCGACTTTGCGTTCAACTTATCTTTCATTGCGTTCATGTTTTTAGATTAATTAGAATGTATGAAAAATATTTATTCAAACAAGTTTAGCAAAATTACTTGCCAATTGAAATGTAATTTCTACGTTAAAAATATTATTAATGAAAATGGTCAATTAAATAATATTTTTATTTTAATTCATTCATTCAGCTTCATTGTTGAATGTTGAATTCAATAAGGAATTTTTTTCAAACTACTCACGAAGTTCTTGATTGATATCCATGAGAACTTGAGTGGCAGTCACATCAAACTTGGGTTCGTCGTACGATTTTACAAACTTCCCAATATCCATAACATGGTCTATCAGATCTCTTCTGCAGTGTCTCAAGAATTCTGCTCCTTCAAACTTACTCATCTGGGCTTGTAGAAACTCTTGAAAAATATAATTTGCGAAGAAATAATAACTAGTAAAAACTGTTTTGATGATTAATTTCAGTGATTCAATTGATTCCATTAATTATATAGTTGAACAAAACATGAACAACAAAATGATTAAAGAGCAAGAACATGAACAATAAATTAAACAAGTTAAACTAGATGATGAATAAGATGATGAACAAGTTAAACAAGAAAATGAACAAAAGGACAAGAAGATAAAATAGAAAATAAAAAAGTGAAAAAGATGATGAGCAAGAAGAAGGGCATGAATATGACTGAAAATGAAAATAAGAAAATGGTGAAAAAGACATACTCTCGTTCAAAGTGACGAGCATGTTTCTCATGCTCTTCCTGAAGACAACATCCAAACTGCGATCCAACATGCGGCATCCAACGTGGAAGAGCTGGTAGAGTAAGGGGTGCAAATCCAGTGGTGATGATGATAACGATGGCGGTGGTGGTGTTGATATTGATGCGGCCTTCATTGATATTGATGGAAACGTTAATGATGGCGGTGATGATTGCGGTGGTGGGGACAGTGATGGAGACATAAGAGGGGTTAGAGCTGGTTCGTTGCCACTCTCTTTCAGTGAGCATATTCTCCTAACTACCATGAATAAATGTTATTCCGGTTCATTCACAAAGAGTACGTTACAATCAGTGGGGTACATATTTTTTACAATTAATTAATAAACAACGTGGATACAATCAACGATGACGCTTATTTTAGCGTAAAAATTAATTTCTTCAATTTAGGAATCGCGAAAGTTAACTTTAATTTTTAACTCGCACGCACAGTTAACTTTGACGCCGGCAATTTTTGCTGTATAAAAATCATAGACGCCACAAATTAAGGACTTGTGGCGCTCGCACTCGGTATTTTAAAATTTGTTCATAACGAATCGTAGCAAAACTTTGGTCCATGGCTTTAAACGACTGAAATTTAAACTTTCACGTCACAATATTTCGGTTTCGTGATAAAAAAAAGTAAAAGATAAATAAAAACAGGATAAAATAGAACAGGATATAACAGAACAAAACAGCTTTTTAACTTACCGTTACAATTAAATAAATGAAAGTGCTGAAAAATAAATAAACTCAAAAATAAATGTTCTCTTTTATCGCTGTTCTGTTTTATCCTTGTTCTCAGTAGCGGATCTACCATAGGCCCGGGGGGGGCAAGTCGCCCCCCCCCCGCGCGGTCTTTTGCTAAAATTGGCGCCCCTTTATTTATCTGTAAAAATAAAATGTGAAATCATTTTCTGCTATTTTGGAAACTCTAGAAGATATTAATTATGGAGAAAAAGGTTATACAGGAAGTGTCCGAGCAGAAGCTGTTGGACTTTTTAGTTTGTTGACTAACTATTCTTTTATTTTTCTGATGTTTTGTTTACAAAAAGTGTTGAATAACATTAACTTTTTGTCTAATTATTTACAAAGTAATAACATTGATGTAGCATTTGCAAAGAATTTGATTGATATTACTAAAAACAAATTTGTTGAAATGAGGACTGATGAAGCATTCAACAGTTTGAACTCTTTTGTCAGTTCATACATAAAGAAAGAGTTTTCAGATTCTGATATACAGATAGAAACAGATTTTAAAGAACGACGGGTATCCAAAAAAAACGAATGCCTGGTGAACTCAGCAAAGATGAGAGGATAGATGATCCAGCCAAACGGTTCAAAAATGAAATATACTTTGCAACTTTAGACACACTTTTAATGCAATTGGAAGAACGTTTTCATGATTTTTGTGAAATAGTTGCAAATTTCCATTGTCTTGATCCATCCCAATTTTTGGCAGATAACACAGCTTTTTCAACATTGTGTGCAATGTATGATAATGATATTAACCACAATGAAGCTGTTCTAGAATATGAAACTTTGAAAAATGTTTATGAATCTATACGTTCATCACTACCTGAAGATCTTAAAATCCATGAAATGTTACATTTTCTTATTAGTAAACAAATTGCTCCAGCTCTTCCTAATCTTTCCATTTTGTATAAAATATTCTTGACACTGCCAGTAACATCTTCTACAGCCGAAAGAAGTTTTAGTAAATTAAAAATTATAAAAAATTATTTAAGATCAACGATAACCAATGAGAGATTATCTGGGTTATCATTAATTGCAATTGAACGACAACTTGCTGAAAATATTGATTTTGATTCAATCATAAATCGTATAACTTTGCGCATATATTCAAAAACATTTGAAATAACCAAATCACTGAGCCACAAAAAGATCTACATTTTACTGAAAATGGTCAGAGTTTTGTTGCATACTGCTGTGATGTGAAAGCGTTGTAACAAAAAAACAGAGTGACCGTTGTAGGTTTCACTAAACTTTTTTACACATCAGTACATCCCAAACTCCTGCAACGTCAGAGTCTATCTTTGGTTTGCCAAGCTTTCCATGAAAAGAAAGTATCAGTGTTACTTACTTTGAAAGAAAAACTGCACGTAGAAAAAGGCACAGTACGTTTCATAAATCATGTAAGCACGTGGTTTTAGATGATGTATATCAAAAACCGGTACAGTGCTGTTAAACTTCGTGACGTCGCCAAACCACCATGGCAGTTCCAGTGTGACTGCTTTTAGAAGCTCTTAGGCATGTGGATGTCACTGCAAACTGTCGTAATGGGGCTGCTGTACAACAATGCAAGCTCACAAATTTCTAGCGACGATTAAATTCAACACCAATGCTGGCGAGGTACTTCTTTCTGGTCATCAGTTTCTGTATGTGCTGCCTTCAGCATTTAGTCAGAATCTTTTAGAAAAATTTATTGCTATTGCCAGGCAACGGTGCGGTGAAAATTTTAACATCGATATCGCAGACGTTCAGGCAAGTGCCAATGTTCAATGGCTACAGCAACTTGCAAAGTTTGATGTAGCACCTGGTGGTCACGAGAGAATTTCAATTGCTAATGAAAGCTGATGTTCTTGTTAAGAGCGATCGGGAGAAAGAGTTTGGTTGCTTACGACGACAGGAAAAACTTTCAAATGAATCTAAAGTTGTGACACTTGAAAAAATAAAAAATTTGAAAACAGCTATTTTATTGCTAATAATTAAATTGATAATAATTAATTAATTAATTAATAATTAGTTATTAGAGGTGGTTCCGGCAAAGTATGGTGGAAATTTAAGCTGCACACTATTTTTACTAATATTAACGAAATTGCAACAGATCATAAAAAATTTAGGAGATTTTGTTAAAACAGCAGCAAAAGTTGGAAATTTGTTTACAAAATGTATTCCATTTTTAATAAAATATTTTAATATATACAAGTTTGTATCTATAAAACACTTTTGTTGAAGGTGTCTATGGTTCATACAAAGTTTTACGTTATTCGGTAAAAAGGTTTGACTTTTATGCAAAGTGAACCCAACTTTCGCGATGAACCCAAGTTCGAAACACCGAGCATGAGTGTCGTCAGTCCTTCATTTAAGGTTTCTATGATACAAATGGACAAACATGAACAATACCAATCATGTTCAAGTATCCACACCACTAAAAAATGATCGAACAACAAACTATTATAATGACATATGTTTGAAAAATCGTCAAGAAAATATATAGACTACCTAAATATACAATGTTAAAGTTGTAACTAAAACAACGGAAATTGTTTAATTTAATCGATTGATAACTTACCCAGGTCGCATATTAATTCTTTATCTTCATTCATGTTTCATGGGCATAAAATTAAAACTATATACTTGGTGGAAATAAAAATATTTGATTTGGTTATGCAGTTTTAAACTGATTTTATTAAACCAAACTAAAAATAATAATACTAGTAAAAAAGTCAAAATAAAATTTTTCTCACAAATAGTTGATACGAAAAATTATTAACTCCTTGTCCAGGAAACACCAAGAGATGATTATGATCGGCATACAATCGAAAATTAAGCACGTATGATAATTGTATACAAGAATCATTTGTGCGCGCACACACACACGCACATGCATTGCTTGAGTTTTTATGAAATCGATCACACAACACAATCTGTTTCAGCCCAGCAGCAAGTAGCTTAGCGATATTAATACGTTTATTGGACGGCTTCGGTATTCTGCTCGTTGAATTTACACAAAACTATTTATGCACATGATACATGATGACACCTATATAATAAAGATTTTTTTTAGCCTTCTACTATGGTGTTCTGACATACGAAAAACCGCCTACATATCATTCCTATATTTAAACCTTCATGCCACAAAGTATGTATTATCTACACCAGGCAAGCACCATCTTATACGCATGGCGATAAATAGCCTTTGAGTTTCAGACAGACAGTATTCGAATGAGGCCACCGTGTAATAACAACACAATACACGACTGAGCTAACACGACTGAGTTCATGTAATTATTTGCTGGATCCCCACATACTGTTTTAAACTTGGGTTTCATTTTTGACAACAAATTGACGGTTATAATCAAGCAACTTTATCGAAAAAAATATTTTTTCAACTCCGTCAGCTGTGACAAACAGATCCCGCCTATCACACGCTTTGTGTGTGATGCGTCGTTTGGCACGTTTCTTCATATTTAGCACGTTGGTGTGTTGCTGATCCTCTGAACAAAATGTCTGATAATTACTATTATTAAATAATTAACTTAATTTAAAACTTGTACATTGACGTGCAAATTTTAACAATTATTCTGTATTCGATACAGTGCTGGAGATATATGAGAAAATATAAAAGCCTGAGTAACTAGACGAGGTTAAAACATTTAGTTGAAGGACGGGATACAGCGTAGAATCAGGAAGACAATATCAAATTACAATAAACGGTCCTAGATAAAAATAATGGAGCAACAGAAAAGGACTAGAAGAGTAGGAAGGAGAAGTGAACTTTTTTTTATTATAGTTAGATGAAAATGAAAATTTTTTGGTTGCACTGGAGTCGCGTTTTCGACGAACAGGGGCGGGTCAATTCACCCAACATCGACCAGCCGATACAAATGAATCCCAAGCCAACCTCTCCCATCTATCGGAATTTTTAGCAACACTGTTAATATGAAAAGAGACACGATAAAATAAAAAAACAAAACCTGGTCCACGAAACTTTCAATTTGTTTCCAATAACACTGCACTAACCGTCAAATAAAAGATGATATTAAATAACTAATAATTAATAAAGGAAATGAACGAAATAAAGAAGCACCATTCAAATGCAATTTGATGCAGGAAAGAAATTTAATTAAGCTGAACATTGAAATAAAACTGTCGACATGCATGTAATACTGTGGATAAACAGTCTCAGGATAACTATTATATCTCCAATGATAAATACTTCAATTTAAACAAAATAAATTTGTCTATGAAAACTTAAAAATCGATTATAAATTTTGTTTCTTCTCTCTGATTTGATGTTTAATAACTACAAAAAAGGCCTGTAGAATTGTCAACAATGAAATAATAATAAAACAGACAACAATAAGCAATGGGAAAATCAACCAAGAAAATGAAAGAAACTGTACATTATGCGGCGAATGCGAACGACTGGAGAAACTACTAATCCTAACAATAATTTATACCGATGGTATTATATACGACAGTCAGCATTGATAAAAATCAACAAAAACTAATTTACGACGATAATGAATGATAATAATTGTAAAATTATCACAATTATCAGTTTCTCCATTAATATCGCCGCCATCGTCAAAACCTAACCCGTCAACCCACGCATATTGTAAATCGTCACAGGCGTCAAACTATAATCTGCAACCAATCATCGCCAGTGAGGTCACACAGTTTTCATCATTCACATGTAGGTGACGTTCATTTAAAGATATCAATTCACAAACATGTTTAAAAACCGACACATACAAACACATAAACTCGACACATAAACGCATACTTACAACAAATACACACCAAATTACACCCTTTACATCCATACATACAAGCGCATCTGAAGTCAATTCATGTGATGCGCTGTACCGGTTTTGCGAGACGATACGATAGGATACATACATATATACATGCATACATACATACATATATACATACATACATAAAACTTAAATCACACGCACATAACGACAATACATACAGCAACATTGCCTCACACATAGCACCAACTCATGAGACAAAAGACTCCATAGTTTCAAAAACCATTCCTTGTTCATGTCATATCGAACAATTATAATTTGTGTGTGTGGTGTGTGTGACGTCCATGCATGTAGGTAAGCACGTGAAAACACATTGAATAATATCGAAGCCGATATATATCATAAAGAAAGATAGATAAATCGATAGATAAATGGGATGTTTCAATACAACAATTTAACGCAAACTCTCATATTACAGCACCAGCGATATTATCACTAGATGAATATATCACAAGTGAGTGAGTGCAGTGCCAACGAATCTGATTAAGATGAGTGTGATAGAAACAAAGTATTGTAAATAATAATCATAATAAATATAATAACTTCATTTCATAATAAAAACATGCAAATTAAAAGGATGAATGTTTCACTCACACGCAGCAATCAATCAAAAAGAAAATGACCGGACGTCTGAAACTAACGCAATGAACGCATAATTGAATAACACGCCAATTAATGCAAAGCAGGTTTCAATCTCAAAATTAGTATCATTTCAAATTATTAAAAACATCAGTAATTCAAAAACTGAATCTTTGTCAATAGGCAAAATTAAATGTTAGTCTAATCTGAAGAAGCACTGGTTGACCGGCAAGAAGTCAACAAACCAGGATCAAAACCTAATTCAGCTAACAACAACAAGAATACAGAAAAACAACAATAATAAAATAATAAGAATAAAATAAAATATGAAAGTTTACAAATAAATTTATAAAGAAAAAATAACAATAAAAATAATAATAGCAAACAAATAACAATTCAAATAATGAGGTTTATTGAGTATTGATTGGATTGAAGGAAGGGCAAATGGGACTACAGATGGAAAGCATTGATTGGGTCAAAAGGTCTTGCGGGGATGAGGTCCATCAGGTCCAACGAAGGTTCCCTGTACGATTCGGGCAGGTAGCCACTTATCTTTTTCAGTAACTCCATTCTGTTCTTTTCTATATCTGCGTGAGTGTGTGTGTGCTTTTGTGATGAATGGCTGATTGATTAAAAGGCAAATAAAGTGATTAGTTTTTGAGAGAAATAAAAATTGAACATTTGCTAGAAAAAAATTATAAATTTCTTGTCAAAATGAACGACCAACAAGTCAACGTAAATTATAAAAATACAAAAAAATAAGAAAAAGTTAAAAAGGGATTTGAACGAACTTTTGGCAGCATCTGAGTTATCAAGACTGTACTCCATGGTTTTGAAGAGGATGGATGGCAGAGATTCGAACTGGTTAAAAATTAAATTTCACTGGTCATTTATTCTCTGTTAACTTCTAATAAACTTTACGCTTTACCATTTCCAAATTTTATGATATCGTAAGTGTTAGTATTTTTAAATATTTTATCGTAAGTGTGGGCACCTTTATATATTTTATCGATATAATGTAAATTTTGTAAAGATATTTCAATTATTATGAAAATTTTTCAAATCAGTTTTTTACTGTTTTGTCATTTTTAACATCTATAGCTCAAAAACTTTGATGCATGTTCTATTTAAATTTAGCATTTTAAATAAGGTTACGTAAGTTTAAATAAGTTTTTAAAATTAAAGTACTTCTATTTCTGAGTAGTTTCTGAGCTACACCGCTTCAAAAATGTCAAATATTAAAAAAAAATCTGTAATCCGTGAATTATTTTTTGGAGTTTTTGCAAAAAAATTAGATCCAGGTCATTAATTCTGACTTATTTTCATATTTTGTCGTTTATGCGTTCACAAAATTTCATGAAGATATGCTGGCCATCAATAGATATGACGTTTTGCATATGTTCAAATTTTAGAAAAAAAAATGAATTGTTGGAGGGCAGTGTCACAAGAATCTACATAATTTAAAAAAATAATTGAAATATTTCTATAAAACTTTTATTTTACCAATGAAAATACATGAAGGTAATTTGGTAAAATTCTATAAAAATGGCTAAGAGATGGCCGATGGTTTAAGTTGACAAAGAAGACAAATCAGAATGCTTAATATCCTTAAAAAATAGTTTGTATTTCATTTCTTTTTAAAGAAAAGCCAAACAAGTTAACAATATAACTCTTGGATAGACCACCCTTAACTACGACATGAAGTATGTAAATAAAAAAATTAAAAAAAAAACAAAAACAGAAAATATCAAGTCAGTACTTCGACATAACTAACAATTATTAAAATAAAATAAAGACAGGTAAGAACATTAGGCTAAAAAGAAGGTGTCGGGATCTAAGGTGAAAAGCAAATTCGCAAATTAAAAAAAAATACTGCATATTCAAATTTGATATATCAACGGGGATAAATTTAGACCATATTGAAGGTCCCGTATGTTTATTGCATCGGATATTATCCGGAGTAAAAAAGTAGATTTGTGTCGTCCGAGTTTAGTATGCATTTGGTAGATGGAGAAACATTGCTAATGAGGTTAGTATATAAAAAATTACAGAGGTAGAATTGAACCTTGTGTTACTCCTTTCATTATTCAGATCTTAGAAGAACAAAAATTATCAATATAAACATATTGATAACGAGAATTTAAATAGCTGCCAATCCAATCAAGAGCGATTTTTCGGACACCATAATGATAAAATTTATTCATTAGTATATTGTGATCAATCATGTTGAAAGCTTTGGAAGGATCTAGAAATATAGCTGTCGAGTAAATCATTTAAATGGAAGGATCTAGAAATATAGCTATCGAGTAAATGAGTAAAGATATTTTGGGAAAAATCCAGAACGGCCAACTCAGTAGAGAACTTAGGGAGAGAGCCATACTGATAATTACTGATAGTCTATTAAACAGTATTTTTTCAAGAATTTTTGATATTGGTGGCAAAAGAGATATTGGTTTGTAATTATTAACATCTTTGCTTTTTTTCTTATGGACAGAGATGATTTTTGATGTCTTAAAATATTCAGGAAATATATCTATACTTGGTGATAAATTAAAAATATGTAGTAAAAGTTCTATTAAATTTTTGATTATGATCTTACTCAGAAACATACTAAGGCCGTCGTCCACGTAGCTTTTCTTTCCTTTCATTTTAGAAACAGTTGGGGTTAGTTCGTAAATGTCAATGTTATGTAAGGAGATAACATTTATGTTAATTTAAGGCATAGAAGATAATGGAATAGTTTTAGTTGTTGTTGAGTCGAGTATTTCATTGGCTGCATTGACAAAATGACTATTCAGGATATGACATATATCTTGTTTGTAGTCAATAAGTTGATTATTAATTTTAAGTTTTGTGATTGAAGATCCAGTATTTTTCTTGTTCAAGGCTTCTTCAATTAGATTCCATTTGTTGCTTTAGAAACTTTATTAAACAAACTTCTCGAGTTAATGTGTGGTATTGAAAAATGATTAAATTTAGGAATACAATAATGATTATATAATATATTGGCTAGATTATCAATATTAACAATAATGACATTTTTAATAAATTAAAAATATTAACAGTTTAGGAAGTCAATTATTTGAAATCTTGTTAATGTCCATCTGAAATCCTCGTTAAGGTGGACGAGAGGATTGGAACAAGATCGTTGATCGACTTAAAACTTCATCAAGTGAGATGTTCGAGCAAACCATCTGTTACTATGAATGCTCAAATTGAAATCAGCTTCCTTTTTATGTTCGAGAATGTTCAACTTTTAGTGTTTTTAAACTTAATCTAAAGATTTATTTGAATAGCCTTTCATGATTAATATATATATAAATTTTTTTGTCGTTTAATCTAAGTAAAAATTTTTATTTTTAGTCGAAGTTTAGTGGAACTAATTGAACTGAGTTTATATTTTTGGCGGGGTATTAATTTAATTAAAGACATCGCTTTTTTAGGTATCCTTTTCATAATTTTTTTTATTATTGTCATGAATAAACCTGTTAAAAAACCGAATAATAAGAACAGGGATGTTGTAACGAATTAAAAATGTTACAATCTGGATCCATGTTAATGTTTGATTTATTAAAAACTTGCGATGAAGAGGCTGCGTCCGAAGTATGATCAACCAAGGGGCATTGAAGTGATGCAGAAATATTAGAATCAAGTCGTTAGTTGTATCGTCGACAAATTCAGAGATCGTGTTGGAATTTGTGCTGATACCGCCGGTAGCTTTTGAGCTATTATCGCTAACCAAAACACACTTTCCGGTTGGAGACAGACGTTGTTAGTAACGTCTGTGTTGTTTTTAATAACCAATCGCGGGCTATTTTGTTGAAGATGGATGTTTTTGCCATTTGAATGCATATTTTGTTGCTAAGGAAAATTCAAAAACTCCCATCTGCTTATCAGCATACATTTCGAGCAAATTTCTGGATCACGGAATATGCTTTCAACATCGACATTGATGATTATTTTAAACGAGGTTTAAACTTGAAATAGGATTATTTTAATAAGTTTAACAAACCCATTCATCAAACAATTTTGATTAATTAAGAAACCGGCTTTCCTCGCCTAAGATTTTAGGATCAAACATCCTATTTAAATATTTTAATAAAAGTAATTAACGAAAAACAATGAAAAAATGATGTGAGAGAGTGAATGCTGGAGTTATCAACCTACAGCTAAGTATCGCACAAAAGCAAAAAATTGCAATTTAAGCATTACAAAAAAATGTTTGAAACCTTTTCTAATTGTTCCCTGTCGGTTAAGTCAACCAGTTGACGAAGTTCATTCTGCAGGTAGTTGAGGGCAGACGTCTTGTCATGGTAGGTCATTTCGATGTACCTGTGCTCCCGAACGAGCAACTGCAGTTCCTTTTTCACTTTCACTCTATCCACGTGCGTCAACTGCAATTTTAAGGCGTTTGCATCAATTAAACGTACAAATGCAACATGCACTCCAAATATGCCCAGTGCGATGTTCCAACTCACAACATAAATGTCACAAGATCAATGTTCCAACACACTACATGTTAAATAAAATATACAACAAGAATGTTACAACACACAAAATGAATGCTCACCCTCATCATCCAGAGATCATTCAGTCGAACGTCATTAATGATGTCTTGATTAGGGTTGCCACCAAACAAGTAGTGCACCTGCATTTGGTTTATTTTATTTTGTTTCTCATAAGACTTTGAAATCCTAGTCTGATAAATTTAAAAAAATGAATAAGATATAAAACAATATAATCAACTCTAACTTTCTGTACGACATCATAAACAAATTGATGAGCAAATCTAGGCACTGGAAAACAAGACGACAAATATGATAATGACGATGATGAATTATGTTGTTGTTGTTGCATCTCTTTCTGAATGCTTTCATCATTGTACACGCAATCCCTAATGTTGAAAACAATGCAATCATCGTGTTAACACCACTAACAGTATTTCTAACATAGTACAATTCGTTTTTATCCTCGATCATGTATTTTGAAAAATAAACGTGAAACATGTTGAAAAAGACTAACAAAAATTCTAATAAAATTGATGTATTATTATAATTAAATGCGTGTTTTTAGTTTGTTTTCAACATCGCTTACATTCACAATTATAATAATGTCCTCACGTTCATTGTCGCAATTATCATTGCTGCCATTTACTACCATCCTTACTCTCACAACTACAACCAACATCAACAACAATAACGTACCACAGTCCATTCTTAATGTTGTAGAGCCACAAGGAGTTCTGTTTGAACTCCCTGGACCTCTCCTGGTGCGTTGCATCCTTGTTCACGCCCTGACAATCATTCAGTTCAATAAACTTCACGTTAAAAATGTTTTCATTTATTCTTTTCAACAAACATTCTATTACTGTTTCTTATCCATTCATTTAAAAAAAAACTTAATTTATTTTTACAAAACGCTCAGAGATCAAATCTGTACGCAGATAAGTCTAGAGATTCGTCTGTACTTTGCAGATGACTGAGAAGTAGTCAGAAAAGGTTAAGGCTAACGGAGAAAAATACCGAAACAAAATAAAAGCAGTCTCAGCACAAAAATTTGTAACAGAAAAAGAAAGAGTGAGAGCGAGAAGATGATAAATTTAGCTCCGGTAGGGTTATATGTTATATTATTCCTTAATGCGGTGGTAAACAGTGAACTATGGTATGAATAAGTTATTTGCTACCATCGATATAATGATTTAAAAATTCACAAAGAAAATTTCAATTTTAAAATTGCTGTTTATTAGCTTGTATCGATTAATATTCATACCAAAGTTTTGTTTGTGGAATAAGATCTTCTGCACTTTCAGCATCGTTACTGCTCTAGTCGTTTCAGTTTTAGCGCCAATACCAAATTTCTGAACTTCGCTTGTTGAGCTTCCTGATCGTTTTGTAGGGCGTGTCGTTTCAGTAGTGCATCCTACTCGTCCTCTTGGTTTAATTTACTTTCGGCAAAACTCTTTGTCTCCACCGTAAAACAAAATTTCTCTCCGCTTCGACATTAAAAGATGAAATAAATGTTTAAAATTCTTTATAAGATGGCTTTTAATTTTTTTCAATTAACTTATGAGTTTGTCGACCTTGCTAAAACTTGCTCCTAAGAAAGGAAAGTAAAGCTTAGCTCCTTTCAAATCTTCAGCAGCTCTGCAGAAATCTTTTTTAATCAGTCAGCTTACCGTAAACTCCATTGTACAGTCCTAGAAACCTACAGACGACATTTTTTGTTTGAAGACATTCTACACCAAAAAATAAGGTAAGATTCATCAAAAAGAGCATTAGAAATATAAAAATTTAAAAAAGTAAAGTTATAAACCCCAGTGTAAATATTTATATGTTATTACTGGATATTTAATATGTAGCTAACCATCAAAAAGAATAAAATATGGAGATATATATGGTAACATATATATCAATAGGCATTCAACAAAAGGCATGGCGACCTCTTTTGATTCTTATCTTAATTTGCATCTTCCGAGCTCAAGCGTTTATATTTGAATAAAAAGTGTCAGGGTTCGGAAGGTAGAAAATAAAATAAAGATAAAAACCGAGCTCGCCATTCCTTCCATAGTCCAATCAATCACTTCAATCATGTTTCGCTGCAAACATGCTAGGAATTATGAACTTACAGAAATTATGTAAATTTCATCACGATCGGAATCAATGGTTGAGCGATGGGTGAATCCACAGAGCGATTCTGATAGGTAAGCAGCATCAATCATTTTCAAGACCAATTTTAAATTTAGTTTAAAATTTATTTAGACATTAATCAGTAAAAATCAGTAAATAAAAATAATTATTTTTTAAATAACGTTGAAATAGTCAAACGACTGAACCAGGTAAAAAGTTTTTGGTGGTCAAGTGGTGCAAGTACTCGAGGTCCCCATCCTCGGTTGTCTTGAAAACGTGGAAGTCGTTAGTGGGGTAGCGCTGATGGTGGCCTCCAAAGAGGAACAAACATTTTAGTTTCTGTCAGTTAAGATCCAAAGTATATCAAGTGTTCAGTAACAAAAAATAGGTGACCGATATGAAGCATGAACAAAATGTTTTGAAAAACAACAAATCACTCAACATGATATTTGGGTTTGTTGAATTAAACAGTGAATGCCGAAAATGAATTTATTGAAAATTATTGATCTCGCCAAAAACGCAACAGAACAGAAAAGGAATCAGTTGTTTCATACTAACAGAACTAAAAAGCAAGGAGTGACCTGTCCTAAGCAGAGGTACGTTGTTGAACTTCTCGATCTGTCGCCACTGCCTTTTTGATATGTTGTAGACAAAAATGGACATGAAGATAGGATGGACCGATCTGTCTTCACAAGCACTCAAACTGATTTAAATGAAGATCTACGCATGTTAATATTGAAGCTGTGAATATATATAATATAAAAGATTCAATAATACCCATCAGCCGCATTATTACAACCATTATTGATTAACAAATCAAAAAGAAAGAAATAATAACACATTTCCATTACTCATTATATAAAAAATAGAACGAGAGCAAATTGAACACTAAGATAGTACACAATTTTACAACCAAAGTGAGACTAATAATAATAGTTTACAGAGTTATAAACTCAAGCCGCAACTGAACCTGATGAAATTGTTTCCACCAAAGATGTAAATGAACTTCTTCTCATCATCGATGGCCATCTGGTGATCAAAGACAAGTGATGGTCCTCCCTGACTGCTGGTGTCCGAAGATAAAAGTTCCCACGTGTTGCATGTTATGTCGTAGCAGTAGAAATCACTCTGTTCGTGTTCATTCATCATAAATGAAAACGTAATAAAAACTCAGAACTAAAAAATAACAGATTGTTTAGAAAAGGGACTTAAATGTGAACAATTCCATCTAAGTGGATATAATTACGAAACATACAAGAAGATTTTCAGATGCCCTCTTGTCATTTTCCAGATACTTTCCTATCATGTAAATCTTCTTTGTTTGCACATCAATGCACATTTTGTGGCAGGACCTCGCTGTTGGACCACCCTGCGGTTCAAAATCATCAATAAAGTTTTCAACATATTCTCAACATGATCTCAAAATGATCTCAACATAACTTCAACAAGCTTAATCTCAACGCAACTGAAACACAACGTTTACCTCATTTGTAACATTTTGGGAAAGACACTTCCAAGACTGGCACTTGATGTCGAACATCCAGAAATCAGCGAGATCTTTGTGACCATCCCAGCCACCGAACATGTACAAGGCACCATCCACACTGTTCACGCAGATCTGATGTCCACCTCGGTTCTTGGGCCAGCACTTCTCTTATAATGTGAATGTGGGGCAGACAAAAAAGTGCATTGAAGAAAAAGTTATGCGTGGTGTCAGATGTCAAATGATTAGTACTAATAAAAATGATAAAATATTTACACAAAAATCGCGATTATTAATATAAACTTCACAATACTTTTCAGGAATTTCAATTAAGAGGCTAAATTTTAGGATTCAAAATTATATTAAAAGTAAGATTTCAATTATGAATATTCAGCATTTAATTATATATATATATATATATATATATATATATATATATATTAGGTACACTATAGTATTTAAATGTATTATGTTCACTGACGACACTAATATTTTCTACAGTTCGAAATCACTAATTGATGATTTATCGCTAATTAATATCGATCTCAAGAGAATTGAGGCTTGGTTTTTGGCCAACAAGCTAATCATCAACATTGATAAATCAGGCTATACAATTTTTGTTCCTACAATACTTACCAATGATATTCAAGACTTTTCTCTTAAGTTAAATAATAATATTCTTAGAAATGTAGCACAATTAAATTTTTAGATGTATATATCAAAAGTAATCTGTCATGGTCGTTACATATTTTGGAAATTAGAAAAAAAATTCACAGTTTTTCATGTATTTTAAAGGATTAGGATTATATTTATAAGGATTATATTTAATTTAAAACAAACCGATCATACCAAAAAACTTCTTGCTAAGACTAAAATTCTATCAATTTATCAAATTAATTTCTATCTTCAAACATTATTTACTTTTAAATTCTTAAGAAATCTTTTACCTCCATATTATTCAGAATTCTTCCATTATTCAAATCCATATAAATCAATTATTAGAAGGCAAAATGATACTTTCCATATAAAAACATCTAGATTAAATTTGGGAAACAATTGTATATCTCATACTGCCCCTAAATTATGGAACAGTGTGATTCCCTTCAGCATTAAAAACATCGATAATCTGGCATCATTTTAAAAAAATCTCAAAATTGTTGCTTGTGCTTATAAACCTCCATGAATCCTTGTGCTTACGGACTATCCAACCGGGCATTTTTCGTTACTCTGACTATGTACGTTTTGTATGTATATTTTTCATCAATTTGCCACCTACGATCATATCTTAGAAAAATGTTTTTTATATTTTTGTAACTGTGCAGATGGTGTTTATATGTGAGAGAAAATGCGTTTGTATACTTCTGCAAAAATTTTATCATTGTTGTTTTCTCATTGAATCTTTGTAGAACATTTTTAGTTAATAAACTATTACGAGTTTTTCTTTCTGTTTATTTTTGTATCTTTGAAGAAAATAAACAATAAACAATATATATGTATGTATGTATATATATGGTTAAATAAGTAAGTGTGTATGTATGTATGAATATATTTTTCGTTACTCTGACTTTCACGTTATGTATATATATTTTTTATAATTTGTCATCCACTATCATAACTTAGAATAATGTTTTATATATATTTATATAATTTATATATGTGTAACTATGCAATGTGTCTATATTTTTGCAAAAGTTTGGTCATTTTAGTTGTCTCAACGAAATATTTTTGACAATTTTTAGTTAAGGCACTATCACAAATATCTTTCTGTTTACTTTGTTGTGTCTTTGAAGAAATATATATATATATATATATGCCTTTTATATATATATATATATATATATATATATATATATATATATATATATATATATATATATATATATATATATATAAATATACTATCATAAATACAATTATTTATAAAGATCACTGCGTTTTCGGCATTATTCAACTTGTAGTTGAGTTTCTCAATTTTTCTAACGAAACTTTTATCATCTTGCTGAAGTTTATTAAGGTTAAATAAAAAACTTTTAATATTTGACATTTTTGACAAAACATTATTAATAACGTTATTACTACAGAAGAGCTATTTTCAGCATTAACTGTCATCATCAGTGTAGTTATATAGTATTGTTTCGTCTTTGAGTCTTTGTTTTCACAGCAACTTTGATTGTAACTAAATTAGAATTAAAGTTAATCATGTGTTTCTTTGTTGGAAGAATATTGGTATTATTTAGTTTAAAAAATTATTGTTGGTTTACGTTTATCTATAAAAATTGATTCTGCTATCTTCAATTTGAAGTATTCTCTGTTGTAATAAATTGCTTTGGTGTTATTGTCTAAAATTTCCCTTGTTATAATAGTGTTGTGTTGTTCAATTGGGTGGTCTTTTATAGCTCCATGTTGCTCATGCATAGTTAGTCTTCTCGTTAATGTTGTTGTAGTCATTCCGATGTATTCAGAATTTTGATGCACGCACTCACCAATTTTACATGTGAATGAATAAATCAAATGACTACATTTCTTGTCCGAGGAAGGTTTAATGTTGGAATTGTTTTTTATTATTAGAGATGATGTTTTCCTGTTCAAGTAGTAAATTCTTAATTTTATTGAGCTGTTTGTATCTATGACTTTAGCTTTGTTATTTATTATCTTTTTCATTATTTTTTCATCTGTTTTATATGATTGAGGACATACTATTTTTATAATAAATTATGATGTTTGTTGATAATTAAATTATAACAATGTTATCACCAACAATATTGATGATGTAAACAACAATTATACTAATAGTGACAACCTTAACAACAAAATCAACAACAGCATCAACAATAACAACAACAGTGCAAACACTGTAGATACCAATGCCACAACCCACAGCGCAAATATCAGTTGCAATTGGAACATCGTCAATAGTGACAACCCTAACAACATCAACAACACCAACAACAACATCAACAACAACAACAGCATCAACAATAACAACAACAGTGCCAACACTGTAGATACCAACGCCACAATCCACAGCGCAAATATCACTTGCAAATGGAACATCATCACAAGAAGCAAGAAGAACCACAGCGATGATAATTTTTTTTGAACTCTTTTATATATATATATATATATATTATATATATATATTTATATATTTATATATATAGGAAAGAGACCATATTTTATACAGTATTGTATGAATTCTGCCAAATTGTAGCTTCGCGTAAATGTTGGAAGGAGACCATTCGGTAGAAAATCGGTAGAATTCATACAATACCATATAAATGTTAATATATATATATATATATATATATCATGTTAAGATCATTTTGAATATATAAGCAATTTAACTAAACGTAGGAAATTTAAAAAACAATTCCAATCTGTTAGTGTTTTTAATGATAAAAAGGTAACCAAACTGTAAAACGTAAATATTAATAAGAATATTAAAAATGGAATTAATGATAATTAAAAGTAATGAAAATGAATACTATAAAAAATGACATAAACAAAAAATATGATGAAATACTATCTAATTAAAATGTTGAGTAACTCAAATGGGCGCAGAGAGAAATAAAATCAACAATAATAAAAATAATGATAATAATAATAATAATTCATTAAAAAACAAACCGTTGTTGTTGCTATCCCAATCACCTTTAGCAGTATTGTTAGTACTGGTGGTTGTGAAAGTTGAAGTAGAAGTAGTAGTGGTAGCTGTTGTTGTAGGAAGGGTAGGATGTTGAGGGAGTAGTGGTCCCAGCAAGGTCCATTTAGCCCTGCATTTCTGCGCATTGATGAATTCATCACAACAACCATCTAAGATTAAGTTAATTCAACAATATTGTCATAGCAGTAAGGGATTCATGAGTTAAAACACAACACCAGTGCCAACAATATTAATATTTGTATAAAATAAGATGGTGATATTCGTAACGCTATGCGCTTTTGAATGAATTGGCTGCCAGCCTAACAACACTTTCATGATTATCAAAATGGTTCTAAATAAAGGCCATAAAACATTGTTAATGTAATGCATGAAAAACGTGAAAATAATTAATTTTTTGGACCGGAAAATTTACAAAAAAAAATCTACTAGCATCAACAGCTACCTAAGGCTTAAATAGGTTTGTTTCTTTTTATTGATTGATTGATTGATTGATTAGTTTTTCTAGAAATAAATAGAACAATCTTTGCCTAAGGGTCTGTTGCAAGAGCAAAAACCTCAGGTACACATAGTCTCCCGGTTGAAATGGGGAGAGACTTCATGCATATAAAATTTTTTTCATTTAAAAATTTTTTAGATCAGTTTTTGGGTTTCGGAATTTTTTAAAATTTCATTTCATTTCAATTTATTTTATTATTTTCAGGTAAAATAGTAGTTTTTTGTTTTTATTCAAAAAATTATTTCAGTTAATTATATGGTCTCCGATCGCTTCGATTATTATGACGCCAGACAAAAAAACTAAATATGCTGAAATAAAAACTAATTATAAAATTCTTGTTCTTTTTAATACAAATCCAAATCGTTGTCTTCTTCCCTTGAATTAATATTTGCAAAAGTCTTGTTTTGAATTTCAAAATTTTTATGGAAGTTGCTGGCTAAAATATTTGAAATTTCATTATCAGAACTAAAAGTATAGTATTAATAATTCTGCTATCATTATTTTTATTTTTTATTTTTCTGATCATTTCCCATACAAACCCTCAATAAAAGAATTCCAACAACGTTTCTTTTCATCTCTTACTGTTCTGCGAACCTCGGCTTTTAACTTTTTGTAATTTATAAATTTGATTGAATGGATTTGCCTTTAATTGCTTTAACTGCCTTCTGTTTTGATTTTATTGCGTTTTTGCATATTTTGTTAAACCAAGGATTAATTGTCTTTCCCTTTTTATTTTGCATTACAGGGGTAGTTTGTTTTATAGTTGCGATTATTATTGCCATCCATCTGTCCATTGATTCATCATCAATTATTTCAAAACCATTCATCAATTCTTCTGTCTTTTTTTGAATTCATGCCAGTCAGTTTTGTTATAATTTAACCATTGCTTTTCGTTAACTATAGGATGTTTATTTCTAATTTTTAATATTATTTGAAAGTGATCACTGCCATAGAGATCCTCTTCAGCCTCCCATTCTATATCTAAATACAGGGATGGTGATGAGATGGCTAGGTCAATCATAGAAGAAGTATTTAAGTGCTCATGGAAAATTGTTGATAGTGTTGGTTTAATGAGACACATATAATTTTCAATTATATTTTTTTCTAATTCTTTACTAAGTGCATTCGAACTTGGACATCCCATAATTGATTGTGTCCATTAAAATCTCCCAACACAAGATATGGTTTGGGGATCTGCTGCAGTACCTGGTTTATATCTTTGGATTTTATTATTAACATATTTGTGGTTATATACGTATTGTTATTGTTTTATTGGATGTTATTCTAGTGGCTATCAAGTGATGTTCTGTTATTATATGGAAATGATAATTTATGATGAACAAAAATAATTGAACAAAAATAAACAAAAATGATGAAAAAAAATAATGAAAAACAATTTATGATGAACAAAAATGGATGTTCCAGCTGATGGGATTAGTCTTTATTGGTGAGACTGTTTTGCTGCTGAGTAATTTTTAAAATTTATCTGTTTGTTTTCAATAGTTTTTTTCTCTTGTGAACAAATTATATGATGGTTATACTTCTGAATTAATATATGTAGTTCAGGAAGGTTATGTTTCATCCCTCTTACGTTCCACAGAAGAATTTTAATGTCATTGGCATTTTCCTCTGTGATATGATTAGAGGAAAAAACTTTATAATTGTTATTACTGCAAAGTTGATTTGTGGTTTTGTTGTTAGTTAATATCTTTTTATTATTAAGAATAATTTTTACATTTGTTAGTGTTTTTGGGTTTTGTAAATTTTATATTATTGAGAATTTCTCCATCACTGTCATCATCGTTCATCTCACAGAGACAATCTGAGTCATCATTCGTGTTTTGATCGCTGAGAAAATGATAGATGTCTGTTTTTTCATTTATTTTCTTTATATAGAGTTATATATATATATATATATATATATATATATATATATATATATATATATTTCATTTTTTCATTTTCAAAGTTTTATTCATAATCAACAACATATCAAATAAGTGAATAAAAGTTATGAAGTTGAATATGCGGAGACCGAATAAGACTGTTTGTCTTGTGGTGGCCACCGCAGGTAAATACATGAATAGTTAATGAAATAAAATAAGGAAAATAACTGAAGCAGAAAGATAATTGAAGATAAATAAGTAAGTGTTCGTGTCATACATATATAG